CAGCTTTTCTGAGAATGTAGCACTTATAACATTGGTCTCACGGCTAAGGATTCTCTTCCATTTCACAACCGAAGGCCATCGTTTATAAACCTTCTAATCGATGCATTACCTAAAGTCGACGGATTCGGTCCATCTAGATATGCCGACGTATAATATCTCATTCTCAGCATGCGAGTTCGCATGCCTCCTACCTCCTCACTTGCGTACAAGCGCCCTGCACTCTTCCGTAAACAAAATTTCTCCGCGTAATTTCACCTACTTCCAGGCTAAGGCCCCGAAACGTGTACTCTTGAGATAGCACACCTTTCTCTAGGCAGCTGCAGCTTCTTTCGCGCGAGCAGATCTTGGCTGTCGTTTGTCGAGCTCATAAGTTTGCATTATTGAAGGAAATGATATAATCTCTAACATGATTTATAGCAGTAGGAGAATTTCGCACATTCATGAGGTTTGTACGAATTGCCAGGTGAGCGGCTAATTTGTCTTCCCTCCTCCAAGAGGACACGCCCATCGCGATCCCTGGCGTTGTCCTCCGGAACAGCAGATCGTGTGCTCCCACAACAATAGTACAGGAAGGACGGACCTATTTTTTGCTCATATTTTCCTTTTCCTTGGCTGACTTTCGCCTGCTATTGGTTTCATGTCCTACATTTTCTTTATAAGGGTACAGTAACATTTTAAGAAGTGGATAAAGCGCACTTTTTGAGTTAAAATGTATTTCGATTGTATGTTGTATGATTGTATGTCTCCTCGAGTATTCTAATGCCCAAAGAGCACATGTTCGCCGCTGCAGTTCAAAGCCTAGCAAATGCTGCTGGGATATCCATCTTTTGCGGTTCTGCCCTTTGCAAAAAAAATCGACGCTATCTCTCGAATGGCAACAAACAAGAAAATGTCGTAAATGCCAAGGGTCGTTAGAGAATCGTAGATATTTTTAGATTCTGGAGTAGTTCAAGCTTTTTCAGTATCTGTCTGAAGCCTTCAACAAAGAATGTGTTTTGAAGCTCTGGTTTTTTGTGACCATTTTTATAAAGTTCAACTTGCATATGAATCTCGAACTCCTAGGGCTAGAGACGGTGATTTAAACCGATGAAAAATCTTGCTTCTTTTGGTACTCTTCCAAGCTAAATTGTGATTATTCATATCTATACGATAAATAATATCCTTTATTTTAGTGATCGTACTTATTTTCGCTATCGCGGGCTTCGTGGAATTGATCTTACCGTTTTGCCTACTTTTGCTTTCACTGCATTCCCAATTAACGTTTTTGAAATGCTGCCGATGGCACAGAATCGACCGAGGGAGCTGTAATGACGCACGTCTCTCCTTTTGCCTCTTTCCATTTCTCTCTTTTTCTTCACATAGTTACCATGGGAACTGCGTTGAGAGGGATTTTATGACTTAAGAGTGTTCTAAACTCTGCATCTGTTAGAGTAGAATGGAGTGCCTGATTTTCTGACGGGATTTTCATGCTATGCAGGAAAAGCTAGCCTCGCCTCCCGGGAATTCAACGTACTCCAGAGTGCAACAGTGTTGTCATGAAATTCGCTTGTATTCTCTAATTGCAGTTGACGGCTTGTCGCACTCGCACAGTGGTTGAGAAAGACACTGTCGAGTGTGGCAATCGGGAGATCGTAAACGGGGCCCCGTGTTGACCAGGGTTGACCAGCAAACACCCGAGCAAGTGCAGCCGATTGTCTCTCTACCCGTGTATGTATGTGGATCGCACTCCTCAGCAGCATGCACTCACTTCGCGCGTCATGGGCATCGCAGTTTTATTTGCGTTTCGGCATGCGATTTCGAGGTCGTCGCAACATTTTGGCATCTGCGACTGTATGTGATATAATGCGTAGGTGGCAGTTTCGAACGAGTTATCGCTTAAATCAGAAGGCTTGTTGCAGCTCTAGCTATAAGGAAGCACCTACAGCGCACTTAGGTTCTCACAATTATTAAAGAACGCTTCGGGAATCGCACACTGCCACACACTTTCTTCGTCTTTTTCGTTCACTGCATAACACTTTTCCGAGTTTGAGATGATGCCCATATCGTTTCTATGTGATTTATGTATTGCAATCATGTCACTCCATCGTTCCCTATAATGCTCATCAGTCTATCTCGCGTATGCATATCATTCGACATCTTCAGCAAAGAAATAAATCTTTCACGAACCTAATGCCCAAGCTCACGCGTTTCCGACGAGCGTTGAGATTGAGCTCATTCGCCCAATTACCAGACTCTCTGAGGTCATGCTCTTATATCCGCTTGTTTTCGCAATCAACGTTCAGCAATTGCTGATTCTATTCTGCAACGTTGTTCAGGAAATCAGGCTGCATTAATTAGCATAGCATGACATTTTGTGGTCTTGTGAATAGTTTTTCAAAGAATTCCACTAGTTGGGAAATGACGGCAGGATAAACTTTTCTTTCTACGCGCTGAACCCCAATTTGCATCATATTTCACATCGAGTACTCTTGCGGATTTGCAAAATAAAGTAGTATGATGACAGGTTGCAAATTTGAGTATAGCTCACAAATTCAAACAATCGTTTTGCTTGAACTTCCCATTAGGTGCATAAATAACTAGTACATCGATGCTAACTGGAGTGCATCTTTCACATGACATCACTCGCCGTCAACTTCATTTCGATGCTCAAACCCACTGACGTTAACGTCCTCTTACTTTGCGGTCTTATGGTGAATAAAGAATTCTATAGAAATCGGGTACTCGCAAAATTCAATCACAGAAGCTCTTGCGCAGTATGAATTTCTTAGGGTTTTGCTCACCATCCTTGATTTTGCGCTTTTCATCTCGCAATCCAAACGTTCGCCAAAGTAACTAATGATTTTTGTATAGGCTACGCCGATCATTCGCTCAGCAAGTTACGAAAATGCGTACTTGAAATAAAAACTGCTAACAACTAATGGTCAGGAGATGAGATAGTTGGCTATTAACAGCTTGCCTCGGTCACCTAACTTGTACATGGTATATCTTCGTTATATCCATGTACAACAACATTTTAAGAACATTGACTTGTGTATAGATCTTATCAATTTAGCACTTGGTCGCACAAATTGATAATAGAATACGAATGGAGTAGTGAACTAGCAACCACGCATAGTGTTGCCGCGGGGTTTTTGTTGTAAAAATATTCGAATGTGAGAGCATTGAGCGATTAACACCTTTTTTCGATTGGGTCGGTTATATACAGTTCCGGAATACTTGGCGATTCAGTCTATACTAATTTGTAGCCCCAACTGCTCTTGTGTCCTCAAGTGTTAACTTGTTCCGGTTGATATTCTCAGCAGTGGTAACCACACCTGTCCTGAAGTGGTAACAGGCTATGAGTCACCCGCATTCTCCTTTAGTGTCATTGTTCTTTTCTGTGAAACTTTAAATGATTACTGTTCATCATCCTTGAACTACAGGTTAATTCACCTGTTTTTGAGAAGAGCTTCCAAACAGTTTAGCTGCGATTCATCCAGCTCGCTTGTCACAACCTGATCGCTATCCAGTGTTGAATATAACGCGGTAACCATGATAAAAGTACACATCTGGCGCATTTTTGCATACTTGGCATCGTCGACTTTCCGGCACTCCATGAAAACCTTGACTAGCAGCGGAACTGACTAAAGCACATGCCTTCTGAACATCGTGTAAAGAGGGAGCAAAAAGCGCGCAGACGATGCCAGCACCTCTGATGAGCGTTAGCTATGGTTCCCATCGCAGCAAATGCTTTGCACTAGCTTCAGTTATTAGAGTCTCTTGCTACAACCACTTCCGTAATCGGGTTTTCACTCGTAAACCATACATCGATCTTTGTCCTAAAAACCAGATATTTTTTTCGCCGAGGGCTGTTCGTTTTGTGAAACTTGAGACTTTGGCATAAACGATGTGCTGACGATGATTATGGTCCTGGATCAAGCCAAATGGACACTGACGGCAGCATGCGCTTGGACTATGCGGTCCATAAAGCATGCCGGCGTCTGCGTCCAGAAGCCGTCGTAACGACCAAACGAGCTTAGATAAGCGGTCGTCAGTCTATTTGCTCATCACTTAATCGGTAGCGCTAATGAGATATTACAGTTCTAATCACTCTTCACTTTCATTCTGTGATGGAGCTTTGACTTTGAACAGCCTTACATTCGCTTCAGATTTCTAATTGTCACTTGCATCAAGTTATCGAGTGATATTGTCTTTTTTCATTCATACACCCACAAGAGGTGGACTTAGATATTATTAATCTACTGTTCGAAAAGTATAAGCATTCTCATGGATCATAATTAATCTGCTACGCAGCAAGACGAAGCTAGAATCCTGGCTCGTTTCACAAGGCACTGGCTTATTGAAGACTTATCTTCACCTTTCTCAGAGCTAAACCTTCATCTGTTTCTGTAGGGCATAATTTCTGCTGGAAAAACGTCCATAAAGCCTTGTCGGCTGCATAGCGCTCTGAAAACGCTTTGCAAGACACGCACCCACTGGTTGCTAGGAACGACAATTTTTCCATGACAATTTTTGGAAAGTTCCATTCAGACTTCTCAATCGCAAGCTTGTAGTACGTTTTAAACTGTTGATAGAGCAATTCTTCCCTCTAGTCGAGCACTCATTGCAGTTCATTTGCTCTCTAGTTTCACACTGCACGGCACTCAGTCAAATCCAAGCACCCGTAGAGGTCATCACTCTTATCGTAGTTGCAGTTTGTGAGATTTTTTGGATGACAAAAAGCGCCCATAGCGAAAGTTGCATTTTCTTCGCGACTAAAAAATCAGCGGCTGGTGCTAGCGAGTAACAAGCCAGTCGTTTGCACTTCCTCGTCAATGCCTGTTCTCCATTCATATTGTTTATTGACCCAGGATGCCCCTTTAGTCCAAGCGTCAAGCAGAAGGATTACCGCGCGACAATTCTGAAAATCCTCACCGACATCATCGCGCCTACTCACTTGCTATTTCGTTATTGATCTTCGCATTCCGCTTTTCCTTGTAGAAGAAAAAACTGAGTGTCTTGCAGAATGAGGTGGTTGCTGGCTACGATCGGCCTCATACATCTGGCATGGGGCCAAAAAATCGTCACGAAAGGAAGAACAATCACGGTATGAGAAAAACTCTTGGACAAAGCCATTTGGCTCATTTCTTTGATTTCAGGTGAATGAAGGATCGCAACTCGAGCTTCCGTGCTATGTGCAAGATTTAGGATCAGAGTCGATAATTTGGCGAAGAAAGGAGAACGCTCTGTTTATCGACGAGGAAAACCTGGCTGAGGATGAGCGCATGCAGGTCATCAAAGACGGATCGGTGAGTGACAGTAGGCAATAATGTGACCCAAGCGGTGACTAGATGAGCTAGCAAGCTGTTCCAGAATTCCACGCTAACCATATCTGACGTCGAACCAATGGACATGAGCGACTACGTATGCGCCGTATCCGAGCCACAACAAGAAATTGTCTACAAAATTATTGTCCATTGTAAGGCTACTAATTTGCACCAAAAGTTCCAAATTCACTGCCTCAATAATGGCATGCCTCAGTAGGGTATTCAACTTGGTCCTGTGATCCATTTATCTGGGACAAACATCAGCGTGACCGCTTATTGATGATCATTACGCAATCCTTAGAATGACGATCAGTATCTCCATCCATTGAATATCCAGTGTGTACTAAGAAGATCGCACCGGAATTGCCTAATGTTTTCCAGCTCGCAGAAGACTTTTTGAAAGGCGAAAAATGTAGCCTCATAGTTTCACACTTGCACAAGCAAAAGTTGTGCTTCTCCAGAGAAAGAACTGCTCCCATACCAAAACGGGCCGTTTGGTGGCACTTTGTCGTTCGTCATATGGCGCTGAATTCAACTTCGGTTCTCATTTGCATGTTTGCGTACGACGAATTAAAATGACTAATCAAAGGTGATATGCGATTGCACGTTGCTAGCTCATCCATTGAAATTACCAATGTGTAAATGTAGAAGATGCTATCGAAATCGCCTAATTCTGAAGCCACATTACCATTTGTTTCGCCTTGTAGAAAGTCGCGACAACAGTAGGTAGAGAGCACATGAAAAGAACATAAAGCTTCGGCGTTTGTAGCATACCTTATTTCAAGACCGAGGCGAGTGGCGAAAGAGACCATGCAATTTGTATCACTCATCACTGTAAGTGGTAGCTCCTGCAAGCTACGACCTTGTTTTGCAGAATTCGAGAAAACCTATTCTCTCGAAAAGCGGCAATAAATGCTTTGTCTACAGAAAACCGAGGCCCATCCAGATGTCGATAGAGCTTGCTCTAGTAAACTCGTCTCATGCACGTTTTTCATGGCCGACGCCGCTTTCTTTCTCAACAAACCTTACAACTCCACCATATGCTCCAATTCATTGGCATCTTCCTGTTACTGATTCTAGGAAAATCAATCCGTGCTCTTCGTATGAGCGATTGCAAACGCGCACCGAATCGTATACGCAGAGTTCCATAAAAAAAGTTCGTGGCCGATGAGGGCCGGTTACCGCGCAAAAACCTTTTTGAAGAGTGTTCGAGAGCGGCGGTGGTAGGACTTCGATGATCATGGGCAAACTTCAAATATTTCCACTGTGTACTATAAGATATGTCAATTCAGCTCCACCAAGGGTTGTGATCTCCCCGGATGAGCCCGAATATCTGGTGTCAGTGGGCGATGAGCAGGTCGTTGTTAGATGCCTAGCCAAAGGCAATCCAACGCCTTCAATCAAGTGGACGAGAAAGGTGAGAACTTGCTCGTACTGTGTTTACAGATCTTCGCTGCAACTGGTGTGTTTTATTGTCGTAGTGGTACGTAATGAGTCAGCCGGCTAATCACAGCCAATCTACCACTGGGCCTGGATGATAATCCGGATCCAGAGATTAGGCCAATCACCCTTATTAACGCATAATTGGCACGAACGGTAGGCGCCCTAGGGTGTCCAGTTGCTCCCACGAGGCCTTCGATAATCCAACTTCACCATAACTACCTTACTAATTTCAGGACGGCAAGATGCCTTCGGATATCACAATTCGAGGACCGCAGCTCGTCATTGCAAAAGCGAAAACAACACATTCGGGGGAGTATGTATGCACGGGAAACAATGCCGCTGGAAGTGACTCCGCATCACTGCGAATACAAGTAAACGGTAAGTTGGATACACTCAGAGTCTCAGTTCTGCAGTTCCAATGTTTACCTCCTGTCAATTTGGCATGCCGAAAATCCTTGCTGTATTTCTTGATTGTCATTTGCTGTGCTCTGGAGAGTGAGATTCCTCTGGCAAGATCGTACTCGTCAGATCCGCTACCTAGTTATATTCTCAGTGTGATTCTAACATGTTAACTGATTCTGTGTAGGTGTAGCTACATCAGTAGGTGAAAGGGTTGCTAATTTTCACGGACACTTCTAGCAGTAGCTGATAGATATTCTGCGTTGACGCTTGCTTTTTCACATAGGCTAGGAAAGCGTAGTATGTTCAATTGGCGGTAGCTTAGAACTGCTTGAAAGCGCTAAAAGAAATAGAATGTGTTATAAGTAAAGTTTGGGGGCTAATCATAGCAGCTTAAAGCTTATTTTCTAGAACAGTGAGTACTTTGTCCTCTTTAGAATATTACCAGTGTGTGTTCCCAAAGTAAAGCATGAGAGATTTGAAGTGCAGTCCACATGAAACCTTATTCCAGAACGAGAAGATGCGGCAAAACACGGTGAGTTTCTGCATGAAAGTCTATAGTGCATGTGTTGTGTACTGTGTTGTCCTGACTAACTTTATTTTGCCTAATTTTTTCTATCATTCGTACTCTGTTGGCTACACAACGCCATGCTTCCACTACCGCACTTTCTTTGTTGATAACTCGACATTAGGGCTTACAGCGAAAGTAATTAACCATTGTTAGTGGTCAGTAAGGACGGCTAAGAAGTCAGAGGATCAGCCAGCTGCTCGCGCAGATAGTTCACACGTCGCTGATGCGATCGCTTGAATTGAAGTCGCACCCTGCTTTGGCGATATCGCGCCTAAGAAACAATAGCGCGATCCGCACACGCAGCTGCATCATCCATAAATAGCTGGAATAAACCATGTAGTTGACCTCTCTTCGGTTAATTGCTGTTTTTGGCGTAGCTCGCGAACTGCTTTCTTACTGTAGATATTCAAGTACGCAACCTGTGCAAGTCATCTGCACAGCGATTTCGTGGGAAGCAGAGCTGCGGAAAGTAAATGAGAGAGTTTATGCTATTGGAGGCCTACGTTCTTCGAGATTTAGTCCACTCAAAGGAACAGTGGACTTACTGTTTAATGAAGCTCGTAATTCTCTTTAAATTTGGAGATTGATTTGATCTAGAGAATCTTTTCTGAAATGCGAATTGTGCGCAGAGTGTAAAGTAGCTGCAAAATTTGCAAAATTGCCGAGATATTCTGGAGCCTTGTGGATGACTAGTAAACAAAGTACTTTGAGAAGTGTTGGGATCTTTTATGATGATTTAACTCCACTAATTGGTTATTATCATTCTGATTGAAAATTCTTTTCTCATGTTGCTGAATAAATCTGTCAAGGGTTCTGGAAATAAATAGACTAGTTGAGCCTATTTTTGGTTACCTCCCATTTAAGTTTGTTTTTATTTGAACTCGAAGTATTATTTTGTCGTCGTCGCGTAGCAGATAGCTGAAGTTGAACTAATATAGATGGGAAAGGAACACTGATTATTTTATTTTCTAGTTTCATTTCAAAGAATGCACTCATGCACGATTTAACGCCTGCTCTGATGTTGAAGTCATTTCACTGTTTCAGAAGCGCCATGGGTGAAAACAGAGTTCCCCTTCGTTCCTGTGAAAAAGAATACTGACAAGAATATCTCGTGTTCGTATGACGGCACGCCATCTCCGCAAGCTGAGTGGTTCTTCAACGGGTACAAAATCAACGTAAGTGTGCGCAGGCATGAAGTCGTAAGATCTCACTTAACCTAATTTAGTTCTCTGAGGAACGTTTTCGTAACACTGCACAGTATGCTCAACGAAGTGCCAACCATACTAATGCTATCTTGTCCATAGTTGGAATAAATGAAGTAGGTAGAAGTAAATCATGACCCGAATTGCCTTCTGTATATGCCTCTGATCTCAGGATTTATTCGGCGACTACATGTGCCGAATATCAAACAACTTGGGCTCAGCATTTGCTGTGATTCACGTCAGCGGTGAGTTCACACCTGCTTTTATGTTGCGGTCGTTCCACAGTGTGAATTATAGATGAGGAACTAGCACTGTTGACTAGACAAACGATCTATTATGGCATACAAAAGAATATTTCAACACCTAATGCCCATTCATATTGGCGCTAATGTCAACACGTTGTCGTGTAGAATGGGCTCACTGGGTGCTGAGTTCACATACATGCATTAGGGCAAGGGACACTTTTAAAGGCACCGTCCATCCAAATCCTCGACTTCCATGTTTTTGTCGTTTCCGGGCCATCTGAAGGCCCTGATTTCGAATATGAAACCGAGAATCCCAAAAACCCCTATTTTGCAGGAAGCGGGGCGGGTGGAAGTGCAGTTTGCAGGGCTGCGACGCGCTTATCGCCCGGCGTATATCAGCGCCGCAGCCCCCAAATCTGCAAAATGGGCGGAGTGACCACCTTTGGATCACGTATCAGTACCTTCCAGAGCGGATTTCTCGCTCCGGAAGCAATCTTTTGCGAGGAAACTTGGGGGTTGGCCTAGTGTGGGGGCCCACATTAGTATGCCATCGAATCTCGTGAACCCTCACTTTGGATGGACGGTGCCTTTAGCCAGTGTCTTGATTCAAGATGATAGCATGGCTTGAGTTTGCGATTATGACTTTGTGACAGTCGTATGCAAAATGATTTAAAGTTCGTTTATAAAATTGTGACGACGAATTCGGCTGCGGTCTTTGCGCCCAGAGGAACATAACATCCCCATACAGGCATCACCTTAGCGCTCAGCTCAATCACTTCCAGTGTCCAAGTACTATCATACCTAAGCAGAATAACCACTCGAGTATAGATTAATACCAAGAAAATGCGGTTGCCGGAAGGTGCGTGCGTCTCGCGCGCGGTCGCGCCATCGTCACGATTTTTCGAATGCCCTATATATTAACCGTACTGTAAACCAGTCCACTTCTGTTCGCTGTTAAGGCTGTAAATTCAAGTTTTTGCCCAGAGTTCGGACCCCATAGGTACTGCGTAAACCGAATTCACGGCTTGCATACCGTCAACTACAAGCCTGTTGCTAATCCAATACAGTGCTTTTCTCACTTCCTCTCATTTTTTAATTCTTCCAGAGCACCAATAGTCCCAAATTTTTAGCTTGACTTGATGTAGATGCCCTTAAGCCTTCCAAATTGCTGGGAGATGAGAATTTTACTATTCACCATAACCAAATCCAGGTCGTCCTGGACCACCTACGGTCACAGCTGATGGTTCCGACTTGACTTGGTCGGTACGAGCGTACGAACCGGTAATTGAATACCGAATCTACTACAGGCCCGAGAACGCAGACGAATGGAACAAGTACGAGAGCATTCGAGCCGCGAAGGGTAACGTTCTTTTATGTGAGGGGTATCTTTTTTATTGAGCAAGATTCTTTATTCAGGTGACAACAACGGCGATGACATATGGCAACACAGCGTGTCGTTACTGCCGTATCTTCAAGCTGGTGTACGGTACGAAGTCACTGTAAAAGCACGAAATGCTCTAGGATGGGGATCGTTTGCACGGGAAAATCTGCACATCGAAATTCCGGCTGATACAGTTGGTGAGTTGTTTGTTTTAATGTATAAGAAGCAACTAATGTGTGCAGAGGTGCGGAACGACATTGAGTGGTTAGAGGTTCAATTGGCTAACATTTGAGACAATTATGGCTTGAAAGGTTTGACGAAGTGAAAGTAATTCAATGAACCAAATACAAGTGGTAGCCGAATCGTTCCATATGATCATGTGTGTATTGCACACAACGTCCGTATTTGACGTTTCCATTCTGGATTTGCAATGGCAACAACGCAAGAGACTGATCGTTGTCATCGCTTACATCGCTTTAAGAGGAAATTGGTGGATGGAGAAAGAAAACATGAAGAAAACAACAAAAACACTTACCTAAATAGGTGTCTCCTCCCATTTTCCGGGATGGGAACGCCAAAAGTGGCCAGTGCGTGTAATGACACACATGATCATACGAAATGATTCTGTAATGTTGGAGTTAACAGTATGACCGTGAAGATAGGTTCAGTTCCAGGCTCAGCTTGTCAATAGTCAGCTAATTGTAGCACATTCTATCAATTACATTTTGCATTTATACAGTACTAGTTGGCAAACCCGGCTTCGCCCGGCCCTGTCAATAACATATTTGTAATCAGCATGCTTGATTACCACCCCCCTGTGCCAACTCCCAGCCCTGTAACTCAAATTTTGCAAAAAATCGATAAAATCGATATCGATCGATACAAAAAGTAGCCTATGATACGCTCCTCGCCCCGAAGTGTATGTGTGCCAAGTTTGGTCCAAATCGGTTCAGAAATAAAAATTTCTATTCCGCACATACGTACAGACAGACATACATACATACATACAGACATTCAGCTTTATATATAAGATTTTCAGAGAGGACGTCATCCGCACAAATCTGCTCGACACTGCTCGCTTTACTGCTAACATTTTTACTTGGATTTTGAAGACCGGCAAGATTGCAGCCAGCTGCCGCTACTAGCTGGTTTTACTCTTAGGAAAGAGACTATAACGAGAGATAGTAATAGTCGAGCATGCAATAATCTGTGGTAAAATTTGTGTACGTGCGTTAATCTCTCTCTTGTTCTTGTTCTTTTGCTAGAGCATAATCCTATATACGAACTTTCATCACGAATACTCAACCCTTACCAAATTTTGCCTTCTACAAGCTGCCATGAGGCTATCGTACCTCGGAACTTTATCAGGAACTAGACCACAAATATCAAATAACTTGTAGAGCTCGCAAAAGCTGTGTGAGGTACTTTGCAGTGATTAGGGTTTACTTGCACAACACTATAGTCCATACGCAGTTGTGTCGCACTGATTCTGTGCTCTTAGCCGTTCGTGTCTGTGTTCGCAACCGTCCGCACCCAATCACTTTCAACACCAAGCTTTCACTTTAGTCCCCTTAGTTGGCCATTCTCTTTCAATCCAGACTTCTGGATATTTTTACCGTGCTTTTTAGCGCTTTCCAGGCTCTGTTATGAAACCCGTTTTTTGTCAAATTATTTTCGACATAGCGTCATATACGCGTACCGGGTGTTGCGTTTTCGTTTGTTTTTCCATTTATTTTCATTCTGATCGCGTAACTGTACACATAGAAACTTGAAAGAACTCCGACTAGGTGTTTATGATATTACTAGTTATGAGGATTGTAAATTATGTGCATGTCATTGTTTATCCTCGTGTTTGAGATGCTCTCCAAGAGACTCCATCTTTCATTCGGTGTGTTTTGTATCTTGCCCATGTGATCTGTCATTTATCTATTCGAAGTTCATGTCTGAATTTCTGGTGTAGTCAATCGTACGAAATTTGTTCCTACTGCAGTCACTAGTGTCATTTTGTGACAATATTTCCTCGTTGTGAGAGATTCTTCAATGAATGTTCGATATTGCAATAAAAACTTCAATTACATCGCTATTGCCAATTGTAAAATAACCTTAACATTATCCGCTGCAAACAAGGAGTCAATTAGATTCAGCTAGTTAATCAATGCCAAATGTCACAACTGCGATTTACCATTACGCACTACAAATTATCAGTTACGAATAAAAGAATTAGAAGAGTTTAACGTAACTCTTGAATGAGTGACTTTCGCTACCATAGCTCGATCAGTGAAAAATCCGTGCCTTCTACAAATGTGGTTCCTATCATTTTTGAGAATTCAGAAATGAATGTTGCATATGGAGACACTGAATAATCACTTTTTCCTTTCATGGACAACTGTAGACAACTATGTACCTCCCTATTCATAAATCAAAGACATGATGATTTGATAATGTTCAAATCAAACTGCAGTTTTTTTGGGTGATAGTTAGGACTGAAAAAGGAAAAGAGGAAGGTGTTGAACTGGTTTCGGTACTCATAGGTAAAGCTTTGATGTAAATAGATTTAGAAAGAAGAGTGTTAACGATTCTCTATTCTTCATACATTGTTCACGTTTATTGCACAAATTCACATTAGATTTGGTGTCTCATCTACTTTTCTTCATTCATCAGTGGCATAATTTTGTCATCCAAGCTGAGTGAGTATTTGAGCATGTAAAAAATGAGCTTGTTTCAACTTGTTATACTGAACAAATCTGGGCGCCAATGGCGGTTCGAGAACTCTAAATTGGAAGGGGGGGGGGAATAAATTTCTGCTAAGCGTGGCCGTTATAATCAACCGCTCCGGAAAAAATTTCTGGAATACTTTTGAAAATTCCAACTATGTGCCAGCTGTGCCGAGGCCTCGCTACCTTGAAATAACCAGGTAATATCTATTGAAGTTATTTCCGAGTCTTCTTAGTCAATGAGTTACCTTTACCTAAAAACTGATAAGGAGAATTACTACGTAAGTGAGCCGCTCCTTAAGCTTGCTATCTCGACAGTCTTTGTGGATTACATTAGACTTTAACTAAAAAAGAATATGACACTATGTAGGTAGAGAGACCACCTGAGATACAGGTGCAGCTACTGTTCTGCCAAATTCTGACGTCGCAGTGGGGGGTTACTGTAAGCATGGCATGGGGGAGGGGGGGGGGGGGGAAATCATAGTTCATTACGAATTTGGCTGTAAGTAGAGGGGTCATTCTACTTACTAATCATGAGAACAAAATTGAATTTGCATAGTAGGGATTCCGTGTAAGATTACGGTAGGTTTGAGGCATCGGGTCTCACCCTAAACACGAAACGTTACCACAACAATGGAGCATATTATCCATGTTTGTCAGGTCAAAAGCCCCACTGCATAAATTCTCCGCAAATGCTGAGATGCACCGATACCGTAGTGATTGAGGTTGTTTCCCGCGCCTCGCATACAGCGACTCGATCAACTTCGTGAGGTCGACAGATCTCGATTTGTCATCAAATTCCGGTTCTTTCTATTAAGCTGGATGTCAACTTCTAACAAGAATTCATGTGCACTTTTGGTCTGTTGTGCATGGTGGCTTGTGTCGCTGATAAGTGAGCGGTTTGTGCCAGTTTGTAGCTCAGTTATATCTTATACAGAATATCAAAAATGGGTGCGCCAAAATCAAAAAAAAACGAAAATTTACAGAATCAGATGTGAAACAATAATCTAATAATTCGCTTGAAGCGCATTATGTAGTATATCTTATACTTTCAAAAAAATAGCGTATTTGTTTTGACGGAATTGCAGAACTCATTCGAGTTTTGCATTTCAAGTGGAACTCGTGACCTTGGTTTGTATTTCAATCTCAATAAACTTGCAGTTCTCTGTAAGCAGTGTAGAGAAACACTGGTCGAGGAACACATACTCGTAGAGTACAATTACTTTGAGATGGTGTTAGAAGTGTTTTTTTTTCGCAGACTTCCTAACCTTCTTCTATGCACTTACAAGTTTGCAAAGGAGCTGCAGGTGAGACGCACCGCAATTTTGAATTGTCTTTGGGTTTGCGATGCAATTTACAATGAAAGTGATTACTGAATGGGAAGCAGAAGCTTCTAGTACACTTATTAGATGTCAAATTTCTTACATCTTTACCAGTACAAAGTATTATCTAACACGTACCGTCCAGATGTCTGAAACCCCCCGATCCGTCGCCTGTTGACGTTGAAATAATGGTTCTGTGAACATTGTTATCACGTAACTGGAAAACTATTATTATTTCTTCTGTGCAGCAATTCCGGAATTGATTTCGCAAAGCCGCGATTGGGTGAGACGAATGCGGATAGATCTTGAAGTTCTCATGGTAATCGTCGCTATGATTTGTTCATTGCTGAAGTTTAGCCGGATGGTAAGTATCTGACCAACTATCAAGCTGTGTAATAAAATAGTATTTGCCTCCAAAAATAGCTTTTATTGAAGGGAACTGGAGTTCATCTATGAACCCTGACTCGTGTTTTAGGATGTTAGTGGAGTTGAAGATTTCAACTACCATACTGTTAACAAAAAGAACCGATTGCGGTTCTTACGCCATCCATTTTATTAAACCTTACAATCAGTACCCCGTTCGTACCTCTCTGTTCTTCTGAATGAGTTTGTCATGCCTAACTTCCTGCAAAACAGTTTTCCAAAAAAAGTGTAAACATTTTGGACGATGAGTTTTAATGACGACATGGTACTGGCCACGGTCGCAGAAGGTGTAACAGGGGGGCGGTCGCGAGAGGTCTTCGTTCGCGTAAAAGGTGGTTGATTCGTCTCGAGACATTCGACCGTTTACCCGCTTGCATGGCACCGGTTACTTCGCTGCTCCTTGCCATTGCAACCGTGTGTTGTTTGGTAGCAGGTAAATCAAATGGTCAAAAATAGCATACAATTCGAGCCGGCTTAGCCGAAGTTGCGCGTTTTTGGCAAGCTCTATCAGGCACAAGATTCGAGGTGAACTTCTCAAACAAAGGCGGTACAAGATTGAAAAAGAAATCTCTTCTTAACTTACGGCCAACTTTCTTCCTAAATAATTCCTGATATTCGTTTTATGATCGTTACTTCTTCAGAGTCAGCAGCCGGGCCTTGCATATTCCGTGAAGGACAACATCAGGTGATTTACGGTATTCGAAATGGCGTTGTTCATATTCGCATAATCATTCGAGGACTTCCTCAAACGGCATCAGGATGGACCGGAATCGGGTTTGGAAATGGAATGGTGAGCACACCTTTTATTAGCTTATCAGTCTGAAAGTTTGCAGTTTATGGTTTCCTGTTATATGCCAAAAAGAAGTTGAATCTGATTTCGGAGTATTTAGCTGGGAACAAACTGTGACAAGCAGTTCAAAACTTTTACATAATATCCATGAAAAAACTTGGATTTCACTCTGAATGTAGTCGTTGATAAATCACAAATGTTGTTACTTCCTTTATACTTTCTCAGTGCTCCATCAATTCAAAATTTCTAGGAAAAGAAATGACCTCTAGAAAACGTTCGGGTACTACGAGCAGATCTTGACCGAAGACTACGAAGAAATGTTCTCAGAAAAGATGCACTCATTGACATTGGTCAAAGTTCGGAAATAATTTGCAAGTACAGCAGTAGCAGAACTAATGCACTTTAGTTGAGGTCTGCAAAAGGGTAATAAATTGGGACAATTACAGTATCATGGCAGATAAAAATCTTCAATTCTTAATTCACTGCCCAATAATAGGATATACATTCAGCTTCCGTCCTTGAATGGCATTAAACAGAACTTTCCATGTATGAGTTTTATTTTCATGTTTCGCGCATTACGGTAACTAAAATCAACAAATGGATATATTCTAGAAAATTGTTGTCGCATAGTTTTCTATAAGCGTTAGCAGCATTTGATAGAGGCAATGACCATTGTAAATGTGGTTTTATGAACAAAAAACTGTCTCTGCTGGAATCTCAGTATAGAAATGTTTTTACCTGGCTGTTACAACAGACTATCCAATGCCAACAAGGTATTCGAAAATTTACTGTAACACCGAAGTGATTAATCCGACTTTTCAGCTTGACGGTCTAGACACAATCATAGTTCGTGTTTCCAATGGCCGGGTGAACGTGTCGGATGAGTACGTACGAGGTTACACCAGTTCTTTCCCAGACAGGGTAAGTGCAACATTTAGAAAAAAACATGTGTATAAGCTTTGAACAAGCCCAGTACTACTCAATACTATATGCGATGAAAATGGCACTCAAGGCGATTTGTTGAGTTTGAGGTAGAAACAAAAAGTGTGCAAAACATCGTTCCAGCGATGATTTATAGACAACGCAGCTTTACCTTTGAGAATTGGCGCGCGATTCTATGTAAGACGCTTGCACATCATTATGACATGTAACATTGTTATAAGCATTTGGCCAAAACAGACCGTGAAAGGAACTCGTTCGCAGTAAGCGCAGGTGAAATGTTTTGCTGTAACAGCGGGCATGGAAACTATAGCAGTTTGCAAACTCTGAGTATACAATGCGTCATAAAAACTCGCTTTAACATTTGCGCTCAGTATATGGTCCGCAATCACATCAATCCAAGCACTTCGCATGAAAGCAGCATTGAATAATATACAAATCAAGATAAAGTGTACAAAGTTTGACTGAAGATGGAATTTGATGCGCTTTTGTGCTCAAGCGAAACTTGCACATCAGGCGAAGTAAAAAGCACGTCTTCTCTCTTCTCGCCCCCTCCTTCCTCTTTGTTGTAAAATCTTTTCTACCTAATCAAACGGGTTTCGAAAGTTTTGGAGAAAAACTAAGACTAATGAGAAAGAAATGTCGAAGATGCAGACTTTCTAGCTGCAGTATGTTGTTGGATAAATCTGCTTTCTATGCCATGCCCAAATCAATTTCGAAAACCATCTTGTTGTCGGTTAATACATTTTCGAGAAAGTCTAGATGGATTGAGGGATTTTTGAGCAATGTGCATTGATGGAGACACTTCAGGGTCAGATCTTGAAACAAAAAGGTTACAAGCCTTTCATCCACATAGATACAAATGTTCCAAACTATGTTCCTATTTTTTGTGGCATTGAGTTGACTTGAGGTTATATCCTTTATGTTACTAGTCCAGTACAAAAGACAGTGAGATATAACTCGTTTGTACAAAACGTATCTGAACGTGCCATGGGGTTATCAGTCTCTTCATGTGAGTGAGGGCTACCCGCACTAGTATATACCCTTTTGTTATTTTCTTTAGGGTTACACCCAGCCTGGCATCTTCCATTCTCGCACACGATCATGAGCGTACCCAATGTAAAGCGCTATCTATGTAATCACTTAAGATTAACAACGTCGTGGTGCACAGCAGGAGGGTGGAAGACGAAGTGATCTCGGTAACTTTCTCAAGACCAGTGAACTCAATGGAGTACCCTTATGACATGTCGCTTGTTGGATGTGTACCCTGGAAGGTGAGCGGCATTCTTGCTGGAGTCGAATTATTTCTGTTTACTAATCCTGTAAATATTCAATTGCTTCACAGTTCCTCATCGGGCTCAGCCGAATGGGTCCGCGCGGCGAACTTCACCACCACAGCGTTACGCCGGTGCACCGAACAGTCTGCATCGACGAATGCCGCATCTGAATAGGAGCCGAAGCCGTAGTTCGTATGGGTTAAATGGGTCGAATGCACTGCACACCAGTAGCTGTGAAATTCTTGTTACTCGTCAATGCTACCATATATATGTACATTTGATAATGACTGTCATGCTTTATGAGGCCTGCATTGAGTCGCAATGAATTTTCTGCTGCTTCATCTACAGATCAAAGGCTTCATTAGAGTACTATAGAGTTTCACGGCAAAAGTAGTTCCAGACCCGAATGACTAGCTGAGAATGTAAATCAAAATTTCAGTCATGCTTCATAAATGATGTTTCGAGAAAGGGTTATACTGTTTCAACGCTTTTGAAGCAAAGACAAACAATGAGAGGAGAAGATCAGTTACTATTAGGTTGTCCCATAACTCTTTTCATATCTGACTTTCCACCGATATAAGTCATTCTTCTTATATTTCTAGCAGCATGCGGGTATCATTCGTCAGATCAAAGCAAACGATACAAAAAGGCTTTTTCGCATCAAGCTTGATTTGCACTAGGCTTTGAGCCAAAATAAAAACCGAGTTCCTGAAAAAACGAAAATAATCATATTTGAATTCAAAACAATTCTGCGAAGTTCCCACTCGCTCACGCATATACTCTCCCCATCTGGTATTTATACATACTACATTGCATTTTTTAGTGGCTAGAAAACAAGAAAAATAATGCGTTGTATTCTCAAACTTCGCCTGTAGCGGGTGTGCCCAAATGCATGAATATATAGCTTATCCACTCAGATATGCTGCTATAAATTTGCATGCTTGTAGGTGCCCTAGTTTTTGAGAGATATCAATTTGAAGGTTCGAATATGAAAAGACTTACGGGACAATCTAATAAAACAGAATGAACTAAGTATATGCTGACAAACGCGAGATACGAAAGATCACAGAAAGTCATAGAGCTGAGCTGACTAACATCCGTTGACACACTGATATCTACAAATCCCAACTAAACAAATGATGCTTTATAAGCATATCAGTGACGCCCTTCTTCAACGGTTCTTCACCATTCTGTTTATGTTCGCCAGTCATCACTGTAGACATGATTTTCTTTTTCATACTGGTCATCATCTGAGAAGAATTAGTCCTTGCATAAATGCATTTACGTGATTACTGTAACTTACTCCAGGCGCTGTCTTCTTTTTCTTCTCCATTCCCTCAATTTCAAAGTCAACGTTGAGATTGAATGAGAATTGGCTGAGGAGCCGCAGATCACATTTTATCTAGGAATTACATGTCATCTATTTCCGTCGATCATCATCTCTCATGTCACAAAAGCGATTTTTTACATTCTTATACACTCATATCATGAAGTTCTTCCCAAATCACTCACTACTAATAATTTGCTCAAGTCAAAAGTATATTTGTTATTTGGAAGCCTAGTAACACCGACTCATAGAATTTTCATCATAAAAGTGGCTCAAAGGGGCTGCATAGACAAACTTTTTCAAACCAACAACCTTTGTAAAACGAGAGGAATTTTTCAATTTCCAAATAAAGCAGACGATACACTACTAATAATTTGGAACTCTTTGATTGAAGTGTAAAGCCATTTTTTTCTATTTTTAGTCGACTAAATGCGGGACTTTCACAATGGTTTAAAGTATACTGTTTTGGAACTGATAAATCTCAAAGCACTGAATTAAAGTTTTGAGTTCTAATGGTGTATTATCTAAGCTTGTTGATTCTAACTTCCGACTCTGCCTCGAGTTTCCATAACGGACGACTATTTAGTTTGCGAGGTGTTCTACATTGGTGCAGAGAATAAGAATAGAGTTTGTGTCGCAGTTCTGCATGGTTCAGTGGGTCATGCTTGAGACGTACACGTTATGGAAATGCGGTTTGCAGACTTGTGTCAGCATTGTTCTTTACGAACAAGGTCATTTCACTCCGCATCACAACGAACGACGTCTAACATCAAGCACTGAAAATTACACCAACCTGTCGCCATGCTGGTGTCCGTATAAACGCCCACGGATGGTAATATTTGCTCCTGATGGGTTCCTGCTGCTCAGACGAGCAGAACAAGTCAAACCACAAGTGCAGACACTGCTCGTTAACACCCATAACAAGAAGTGACCTGAAAAATAACATCAAAAACATCGAACTTCGAACTAGATAGCGTTCTACCTCAGTTTCACGTCTGGATGTGCGTTTGCGGCGTTGTGCGAGTCGTTGATCATTTGAACAGATCGAAAAAGTAACTCCTCTGGAGTAAGTATCTATAATTGAAAATTAGTCAAAGATCGTCATGAACCGGTTTCGATGTCTGACTGGCGTGAACGTACTTTGCCATCCTGGTCCAGTTTGAAAGTGTTGCACAGCGTCAAGCGAGAGTATACAGAGTTGAAGTGCTTTTCTACTGAGTAGTAAGCTATGTCCTCTGAAAGGTTTTGCGTAAATGTATCCAATGTATCCATTCTCAAGTTGTGGCCTTATGTGAAAATAATAGAAACAGAAGAGGTGAGATGGTGAAGGTGCAGAAGAATTAGGAAGACGTACCTATGAAAGACCAAGGGTGGTAAGCGGTTGACGGATACAAAACACTTTCCATAATTCCATGGTCCATTACTTGTCGGAAGCTATTAGCTAGTCGACCTAAAAATGTGTTCACTTTGAGAGAGTTTCTTGAATGATAGAGAACAATAAGTTTTGGGTTGTTAAAACTTCATGATATATGGAGTAAAATTTGTTTTGCCTCGGATGTATTCGGTGATCTCTGGCGAAACAGCCTCATCTCCATAGACGGTGTAATTTTTGCCTCGTTCGTCGACTACCTAGAAAAAGCTCTTTTTTTGAATATCTTCTTTTCCAAAGCCACTATCATACTATACAAACACTATTGTAGTTATTCTGACATAAAGCCCAACAACGGATTAACTAAAAACGTGAAGATAGTTGATGCTGACATCTTGTCTCTTCTACAAAAACATGATCAAAATGTGATAACGTACTGCAGGTGAGAGAAATTCATGGAAAGAATGTGCTACGCTGCCACTCCTAACCGATAAATACAATCTTCCAACAAATGTACCACCTCCACGAATTTCGCCGGAAACCATCCTCGAAGACCGTTGACTTCACCGACCCAACAGTGTTCATCCTTTTCGCATATTATCGTTATGATGTCATTCTTCCTGAAAAGAGATTGAAAAACAAAAGCATGAAAAAAGAGTGCAAGAGCCCAAAACCTGAATCCGAGTTCATCCTCGTCCTGCCGTGCGAAATCAAGTAGTGCTCTAGCTCTTTTATGGCCTTCACGGCGCCCGGCAAGGAAATTGTCGATGTCGTGCGCATGCGATTCCGGACTGTAGTCCGCCTGAAGTTCTCGCGATTATCCAGCATTTTTGTTGCAATTCTGATTTTCTATACTCCAGTTAGCGATCTTTTACATATGAGTTGATGCAAACTAGTACGTGGAAATAATACCTTCGTAGAAATATTCAATTCCATCTTCTCATCACAGCTGATGAAATAGCGGCATATTTGCAGGACTGAATCCTTGAGATCTACGAGTATTTCCGTTTGTCGCACATTTTTTAACTTCGGGTCGTCAGCTCCCTGGAAGCAGCGGGAGTCAGCAAAAGTCATGTTGTAGACCGAAATATGGATGTGTGTCTATGAGTGATACGGTGCGATTAGCACTCTAACACGTAGTTACTGGTTAAACGTCTGATTTTGCGCAGTAGACTAGATGACTATGACCTGGTGAGATAACAGTAAGTTTTTAAAAAAACTTCGTGAAAGTGCTCACGTCTTTCGAATGAAAAATCTGCTGTATTATGCTCTTCGACCTGGCCAGTTTCCTTCTCTGTATCTTCTGTTTCGGCAGATTCGTGTCCGTAGTCGTATTCACAATCATGCCTTGGTCCGCCATCAGTATAGCCTTAATATGTGGGATCTCTAACCTTGGTGAGAAGAGATTTAGCTAGCTCTCACCTGGTGCTTCTTACGAAGCTCGTTAATAAGGTGATCCGTGATGGTAAATTCGAAAGATGTCATATACTCTGTGAGCTTGTCAACCTCAGTCACCTGAACATGAAAACTAGCTACGCACGGTTTTGCCCATCTATCATTTCACAGTAAATCGAAAGCAAAACAGACATTAACACGTACAGATTGGGGTAGCTGACTGATAGCGTTGAAGAGATCAGCCGAAGACTTGGAGGTTCTTCCTAGTTCAACTATCTCATCCTCTTTCATCTTCATTATCGATATAATTACCTAAACGATGTTCTTAAAGAAAGGATAACAAAATGCATAAGTATGCGTACATTATCCTACCCGGAATATGCTCACGCTTCCCGTAAAGAAAAGAGAGTCCCAAACTCGTAGCAATGTTCGTGTAGGGAATACGGATGCAAAAAGTGTGAGTAGCCAGTTGACTGTGACTAGTGACACCTCCACATCCAACTCATCAAGGATTTTATTGAGATCGGGTACATGGGACTTCATCAGGTGTCTAGTGGCTCTTTCGTCTGCCTAGATCAGTTTGAATACACTCTTCAAGTTAGATGATATAAAGTTAAATTACTTGCACGCCAAGCAGTGTTTGGCTGTAATAATTAGGTGGTAAAATATCTTCAATTAAGGCAGTCATCATCCAGAATGTGGTCTCTTCGGAGCAAAAAAGTAGAAGGACAGCCACAATCACCCCTAAAACCAGAGTTCATTTTCATCGATACTTTTCCGACTTTTTATGGCTAAGGCCAGACTGCCTAAAAACGAGTGATCACGACTCACCCATTCCCTCACAGAAACCTAAATCCGGATATATGAAAGCTACGGCCTTCAGCACTCTTCGCAACGCATCAATTCCGGCACCATTCTTTTTCCAGAAACAAATATTATTGGGCAAAGTACGAAGCAGACTTCTTTCGATCTGTACTCCTAAAAGAGTAGTTACACCATTGTTTTCTGTTGCCTTAACTGGTCTTACCTATGGAAGGTTTGTCCTGAGCAGATTGTCGCAGAACCTCCTCGTAGGAATATCCGGCAGCAAGTCGCTTTCTCGTAGCTCCAGCAAATCGAGGCCATAAGTATGGGCGCATCGAGTGGGGTATGCCTGTAAGCTCAAAATCATTACAGACAGCTGGGAGCTAAAATTTGTGTTAGATGGGTTGCGTCCTGCAAAGCTGAGCAGCCCCAACCTCCTTCCTTGATCAGCTCCTCGATCTTTTCGCATCGGAGCGAATCCAAATCCACTTTGGACCATACTAGTTCATCCTTCACATTGGGATGAGCAAACTCGATTGCGGCGACAAAGCGCATCCTTAAATGTTTCCGTTTTGGTTCTGCACTTTGCTTATTATCAAAAAGTCTCTAACAAACAGGGAAAAATTACGCTTCATAAACATATGATGCTCAGAAAAAGGCGCACTGAATATAATCAGAATGACTATGGCCTCAAAAGTGATTGCATTTCTAGATAATGTTCGATAACTCATTGAAGCAGAAAGAATATTCATGAGAGACGTATCAATCACTACGACAGATTCGGAATAACATTTGCGCTAAGTGTACCTGTGTGAGCTGTTCTCGATGTCATTGCCTTCAGCAGAAGAACAAGGTGTTTCATCTTTTTTTCGGAAACCGAACTCGTCAAAGCTGGAACTTTCGGGACCGCTTTCAAATTTTTCTGCATCAACATATGCAGTTCAAAACCCACAACTCTTTTGGATCATCTATGAAAGGTGGGACAAGGTCAGCATTGATAGCGCTGAACGGCTTCCCATCTAGCGGAAACGTAGAAGCATGAATCGGTTGGTCTATCTGAAAATTCCATAGTTCGCATCAGAAATGAAAGAGAAGTGCCAGCTGGCTGACAGAGCGCAAAGTAAGGGAAGTTGAAGTTGGGGAATTCAGATAAAATTGATTATAGCACTTTGACACCTACACAAAAGCGTCAAAAACTCTGTGCCTAAAATCTTTCATCTCATTTTCTGCGACATTTACCAACCGAAAAAGCAACTGAACAGTCATAAATAGACACTTGCTCATACTCCAGCGCTTCCCCTTCGGGAATGCGTATACCTCAACCGACAGCAACAAACCTCTTTGGTTGTATCGCAAACCCTTCGCGCAAAGATAGGCACGTCATCATCATCGTCGACAACGTTCTCAGCATACTTGGCATTTTTACCTACAAACTATTTTACTAACAATAAGACCAGAGCTTCAGCATCATACGGCGGTCTTACCCTGTCTGTATTTTGCCATATAAATATGCGACTCTGTGCCTGAAAAGCAAAAAGTTGTGAGCATCAAAGTAGCATCATAATCAGTGAGAGCGAATGCTTCGAACTTGCACACAAAACCGCGTCAAAGAGTACGAAATCGCGCAAGTGACGTCAGCGGAGCAGAAACAACATCAGAGAGCTGCAGCGATCGTCTTCTGAACGCGACGCAAGTACGCCCGCGGCCAGCATCAGTCCGTCTGCTGAACGTCGATAAGCAGCCAGCGGCAGCCTTGGCCATTCGAGGAAAGCGCAGACCGGAGGTGACGTCATGCACGGGTCTGAAGTCCAGCGCAGCCGAGACTAGAGAGCAAGTGGTCCTGCAAGAGTGTCAGTGTTGAAAAACCTTCTGTGAGAAGCAATTTCTAGCCTCTGCTCGACTGGGGAATGCGATTATTGTCAGATAGTAATACTCAAATAAAATTTAGAGCTCAAATCAAAATATAATATATGACGATCTAATGCACTTCTACATGGTAGACTCGTACATATTGAGATTACAGGCTATTACAGGCTTATCTTTTTCAAAAAGGAGGAACAAAATATTGTATAAAACCTTTTTCAACATCACAAAAACATATTTTTGCTGCTCCTTCAAAAGTTTGGTAGACGTTCAAGAGGCGCGATTTCTCCAGAGGTCACCAACTTAACAACCTAATTTAGTGCTATGCGATTCTTTCAAGAATACCAGACAAATACTCTAGCTTACAAAATGTCTGAAGCTACTACTTGCTAAGTTTGACGGCGTTTGGTGAGAACTTGATCGAAATACATACACGAAAACGCCATTGATCGCATTTTCACGGGTTTCTGACCTCCAGCACTTATGTTTTGAATCCATCTCAAAATGATAAGATCGAGCAACCCATGGGGCAATCATACATAGCTTTTTAGAAATTTGAGTTGCTCCTAGGACATCATAAAGTACTAGAAATGCGCTAACTAGTGTTCCTCTGGCAATAAAAATCGCGCCTCTTGACATACACTCCAAAAGTTTGACACCAAAAATCCGCAAATAAATAAAATGACGTTTGCCAGAACGATGCGGATTTATTGCTCAACTCTGGTTCTGGAAACGGCTTGCGGAAATAACAATTTTTTTAGTAGCGAAATTTTTTCGCATTTTTTGCCCATTCTAAGTGAAATATTAGGTTGTCCCGTTTTGTCAGTTTATTTCTCGCTCACTAATACTCACAGAACACCGAACCATGGACAATTAGGTGATATTTGATTCAGAAATTTATCCTCTTTCTTACAGCTATATTTGCTTTCTGATCTGCTCTGTTTTTACAATGTTGTCGCCATGGCTTTTTGAGCAGCGCAGCAATAACGCCAAATTTTTCCTGAATTTTAAAAAATTTTATTCTGTAGTTTTCAAAGAGCGTTGACGATTGTTATGCAGAATCTTTGGCTACTTTCGACCGTTTTAGATTACATGGGCCACGTTTACCAACTCCGTAATAATGATTTATTCAATAAAAACCGCTGCTTATTGATAACGTTTACCACTTAAAAGGAACGAGAATTCGAAAAGCTACTTTTTCAAAACAAATCAAACTTGGGTGTGTTGCATAAATAATATTTAATAGAAATCATGTTTCAATTCCCAGAAAATTCAAACGCTTTCATGTATTTGCTGCAGTTGCGTGTTTCATGACCTTGCCAAAAATCGAGACCTTCGAAGAAATATTTTTTGAAGCTAAAAACAGCAAATTAGAAGAATCTAAAATCACAGCCTTGTAGTCTGAGAATTGCTCTATTTGATCCATACTTAACCCTTTCCGAAATTTTGGAATGAAATTTTCCAAAATTTGCCTAACTTTGAGCAGATAAAATTGACGGGTGGAGAATTTTGGCAATTATCAAAAGCATACAAGATTGTGGTTCGAAAATGTATCCGTATGAAAGAGGAGGAAAAGCTGCATTGAATGCATTTTGAAACTCACTCAGGTATTTGTTGTGAGTGGTTTTATGGTGGTTTGAAAAAAACGGACAAAACTTTCGAGACAACCTAATATTTAGTTTTATTAGTCGTACATATTTCCAAGATGAGATGGTCGATTTATTCATTTAAGTTCATTATCTCCTTTACTCATCTTTTATCAAACAAAAGTTTCTTCTGACAACTTGAGCATAAGTAATTACATGCAGTTTTTCCGTCCTAGTAAAGAAATTTTCTGGATTCCATGTGGCGCAAGCATTGCGACATCAAGAGTGCTCGCATAGTTCGTCTAGTTTACCTATATACCAAGCTGTCTTGGTGGCAGCTACATCATAACCATTTGCTATTATCTTCTCTAAAAATGGAGAAATTAGGAAGAAATTGGACCAGTGGCTCTTTAGCTTGGAATCAAATCTGTATCAATTCACCTTCTGGAAAAACAGTGTAACTGAAATCTGGGCCGATCATTATCACTTCTTTATTTTTTCACCAAATTTCTGAGGGACTTCACTGATATACAGACACGCAGGACGCACAGGTTTGATAGTTCGTTGGAAGCTTTTTCCTCGTTCTCCAGAAGTTAAGAATCGGCAACTTCTCTGATGTACCTCTCAAGATCTGCACAAGAATTTTAATATATTAGTGATAAGCAGTGGCGTACCGAGGGGGGGAGGCGCGTCCCTCCCGAGAATGGGTCGCTAAATTTTTGAAAGTTACTTGAATGTGTTATAAAAATGTGCAGAGGACTTGCTTACACTTGTAAATAATTAAAATAATTTTTAAAAATTTTTAAAAATTCAGATTAGCTACGTGGCTAACGCCATGCACCTTCATAAAAAGAATTTTTTTGTCGCCCTCCCCCCGCGAGCCGAAATCCTAGATACGCCACTGGTGATAAGATAGATAATAATTTTGTTGTAATATTGTATTTGTGAATGATTTCTGTTACACTTTTTCTCTCTGATTCTCGGAAAACCCCTTTTTGAGATTCCCAAATTTGTTCCTGTAGTAGGTCACTCGGGGTCTACATATCAGCAGTATTGATGCCGCAAATGCACAAAGCAAGCAAATTTTGCAAACATTCAAAAGCTTCATATCTCTCCGATTTTTCCCCTGTATGTGTTTTTGCTCTCCTATGATTCTTTTAAAATATATTTTGGCAATGTTTCTTTTATGGTAGCAGTCTGCGGCCATGTGCCTGTCAGAAGTGTGGGGTGAAAAATGGATCAGAAATATAAAAATTCACCAAATTTTCTTTTCGCGTACATGTAGAATTTGATACGGAGAAGTTGATAAATTCTGACATTTTTCATAAAAGAAAAGTTCTGCATGCCAATGCGATTGTGCGCAACTAACCTGGCGCACCATCAATCCATAAATGTGTGTAAACATAAATGTGCCACCCCCTATATTTACCAAAAACTATGGACTATACCCGATTAGCACATCATCCGGTCTTTCGCTGATCACCTGAAGAATAACACCTAATTGAAAAAAATGGTAAATGGGTGTTTGCGCTTTTTTAATTTTTGAGGAATAAAAATAAAGGTGTAACAGAAATTGTCCGTCAGCCTCATATAATTCCTTATATATTACTACAATTCGATTTGTTGACACCCCCTTATAATAATGTATGTGAATGAGTGGAAAAATGAGAAACAGTAGACGAGGAACATTGGCAGTGCTTCCCTCTTCCCCTTTGCACCTCCTCTTCCTAGGTTCCCCACCTTCAAAAGTGCTTTTAATAATATTCACATTTGCAGATATTCCATTCAGTTGCTATGGGTGCAAACTATGTTAAAACTGCCAATTCGTCAGAAACAAAAACAATGAGCATATGATAACCTTCTTCAACCTCAAAAGCAAGCTAGGGACCCACGGTGAATGACCGCCTTGGGTTCAAAGAACTATTTTTCTCTAAACTGAAGCTGTGTGTGTGCGCGCTGCTTGCACAAACAGTCACGAGTTCACTGCATACGCTGGATGGATCTACAAAATCTTTATTTTCTAGTAGAGGTTTCTGCGAAATGAGCTGAAAGTGAGGAAGCAATCATCCTGGAAATGTGTCGCCCGGCGAAAACCACATGAAACAAGAGAAACAAAAGAGGATAAACTCTGATACAAAACAAGAATTTCTCATCCATTCACGTCTGGTGCTCATCACAAAAAAAATTTTTTCAGAAAATTAATATAAAATTTATTGCACTAAAACAATCAACAACTAACAAGATGACAAGCTATACTGATTAACAGTACTTACACACAACACCTAAAGCAATTCAGATCACTGGTTTCAGAGTGATATCAATGATTTCACAGGCACCAAACATTTTTATGGGTGGACCAAAAAAGTTGACACCGGCTGAGACATACACATATACGCCCGTTGGTTCGTTGTAATAGAGACCTCTGAAAGAAAGAGTAAGGGTAGCAATGGATGTATAAAAAAAGCAAATATGTAACCTCGCGAACGCATTAACAAGGTAGATTACTGGGACAAATAGATACATCTGACCTCCATGAGTATGACCTAAAAAATGCAACTCGGATTTTTGAGTAGCGATAAACTTTAGAAAAAAAAATTATGACAACCAGAAAAATGGGAAGACCCAGCAAGTGCCAACAATTTTGAAAACTGACCTGATAAGATGAGATCGACCCTCTTACTAACGATACGATCATCAAGCATCACACGAGCTGCATTCGGCTGATGAGCAAGCATTATGACAGCATCGCCGGGCTGGCAACCAACAATAGCCTTCTTTGCATCCATACCATGCCCAGGAAAACTGAACAATATAAAGATTTAACATTAACACACGCTTATCTACAGAAAAAAAAGGCGATAAGAGCAAAATCGAGACTCACTGAGCTTTAGCTGCATACAGATCATCAGCACCCGCAACGCATACTTTATCGCCGTTCGGTAATATGATCCGTTTCTGAGAATTATGAAGCACAGTGACGTTACATCCTTCCAGGTAAGCAAACCATTCTTCAACGTTTCCATGCATATACTCATGGTTACCTTAATTTTCTACCATACTGAAAAAGTAAACGAGGACACGAAGCTACAAAAACCTTTACCTGTTGCAAAATACACCCCGTATTTAGCTTTCAACGTGCACAGAGGGCTAGCAGCACCCTCGAAGTCCCTAACAAAACCGTCAGCGAGATCTCCAGATATCGCCACAATATCTGCAAAACCAAAATGTTTTCAGCTACCAGAAAATGAAGAGCAACAGTGCTACATCCTCAGACAGTATCTCGAGAACATCAAATTTCTTTCCTAATGGAATTTTGTAATACTAATATACAAACCGGGATTCAAGTTATTCGTCAATTCTGCAATCCTGCTCATCCTCTTGTGTCCAACGGTCGGGCCGATGTGAAGATCACTGAGCAATGCCACTTTTACGTTGCCGTTGTGTAGGTTCTATAGAAAGAAAGCATTCCGGGCATTGCAAAGCAGAAAAAAAAACAGAGAAAAGTATCTCAAGATTTCAAGTCGATAAAAGATAAAAGCATGCAAAGAAACCTCCATCACTAACAAACAGTTCCGAGAAGAGAGAACAGATAAGGTTAAACTTACTGACCCTGATAGGAACCGTCACTCGAGTGTATACTGGATCAGAAAATGTAACGTAGAGACCACCCACGATGCATAATGATGCACAAAGTAAAGACAAGTAAGTATAGAGATGACGACCATTGATCACATACCTAAAAAAGATAGGAAGTTTTGTGGTTTGAGTTGCGAGATTACTAACCTGCATTGGGACTTGAAATAGTCGAGTTTGTACAAAGCTTTAGCGACCCAATAAGTCAACTCAGCGATGGCCAAGAAAATGAGAGCATGAAGATACGCAGCCAAACCGACTAGACTGAACTGTGCAAGGATATGGGGCTCTTCTCCTATAAAGAAATTTGTTAGTTAATCACAAATATGTTGAAAAGACTCACCAAGCAAGAAGAAGTAAAAAAGAAATGACAGCTGAGACAGCGCTAATAAGATGAATAGGGTTGCTCGTGCTACATCTTGGAAGCATATTGTTCGCCAGCGAAAACGAGCCGGTGTGATTTTATCCGGATCCAAGTGGCTAGAAAGTTTGTTTTCATGACGAGTTTCTGGTAAATTTACAGACATTCCTAATGAAACTTGAAAGAACTCAATGAAACGATCAAAGCAGAAGCCAAGGTGGTTAGCAAGTTAGCAGCGCTTCGCAAGTGAACGACTCAATTAAAAGATACTGAATTCAAATTTCAAACGTACAGTCCTAGCGATGTCGATTTGACAGACCTTCACTGGTAGAACAATGTAAACGTATCACATAATACAAGCTTGGCAAAGAAAAATAAGGCAGGAGTTTTGCAAGCGATGGGAAAACTATAAAATCTCAATTCAAAAACATATTGGCCCACATGGCAACCTTATGTCTCTTGAATAATCAAATTGCGCTACCAAATAACAAACATGGTAACCCTAAAATCGAAATGATCGACGCCCAACTGTCGACAACACAGTCATCAGATTTTGCAAGGTGATAAACAACCATGACCTTTACAGACATCACAGTAGTTTCAACCATCACGAAGGAAATCTAACTTCAGCGTTCGCCTAATTGAGAGTGGAGGAGCTAGCCGCACTCATAAGTACGAAACGAGAACATCAAAAGATTCCTACTCCTGCGCTGGACAATTTCTATTTGAGATGTGACCACACAAAATCGATAAGCTGTGCCTCACAACAATTTCGTCCTTATTTCAGTTTTTTTTTCGCTCTCAAACTGCCTGTTTTTCTCGGGTCCTGACATCTTCACAATGGCAAACTTTAAAGCACTATACCTACCTTAATGCATCAGTGACCCTCTTCCATATGAACATTGACCCCAACACCATGACAAACTCCATATTTACGAGATTGTGGATACGTCTCAGACGATAGTAATCAACTCCATGTAAGGTATACCGGAGAAAGATTAGCAAACATTGCGTGGCGATGAAGAAAGCGATCAGCAGATAGTGTCCGGCACACAGTTTCATGCTGACAAAGCTTCTCCTGTATAGCTGGATGGCTGGTAGGTTTATCTGGTCGACTTCCTCAGAGAATCATGACATTGTAACAGAGAACGTCGGATAAGAAGATGCTAAGCCGCCTGAAAACCGCTAGTCAGAGCGCCCGCTAACCCGGAGATCGATAAGAGACAGTCGTTCTGCCCAGGACCAGCACCTAGTGCTAGTCTTGCAATGTTTAGCAGATTGATGGGATCAAATGAACAAATCATTCGAGAGTTCTTGCAGCAAGAAAGGCCCAGAGGAACTGTAGGAATGCCCACGCAGCGTAAAACGCATGCAGTTTTACGTTAGTGCAACATCGCGTACGCCTAGTGGCAAGTTCTTTCATCGAGCAATCACGGCGATGTCCACGAGGAAGGCTTTGCACTTTTACTGACTGTCTTGCACGCTTGGCTTTATTCTGTGTGGAAGAAGCGGTTTTCGAGGGTCTTCAGACACGCGCCAAGTGCTTGTAGGTCCAGTCGTCGCACTTCTCCTTTGGTCTTACCAAGGTCATGTGTAAATTCGGAAAGTAGAAATCTTGCAGCTTTCGCTCTCCATCTTCTTTAGCAGTTTTTTACAGTTGTCGAGTAGGGCTGAAATAAATTAAACCGACCCGTTTTGTTTTACGCTGAAGGTCGGACGAAGAGGGCAACAGATGGCCAACAAGCCCTTTCTCGAAAACCGTTTTCGCGCTGTGTTGTCAGAGGAGTTCGTAGACTCGACAGCTTCCAATGATCCTTCGAAACATTCATGATTCATGACCTAATCTACTCACATTCGACTGGATATCAGTGCTTTTTGAGATTTATTTCAGATTTTCGAGGTTCTAACTTTGTTTTGGCTATCAGCCACACATTCCAGCAATTTGTTTAAGAGAAAGGAATTATCGAATGTTCTATGAAGCTTTCACTCTCTGTGCGATAAGAATTTTTGTAATAGATAATCGAAAGGTAGTGAAGGTAGTGGAGTCCTCCAAAACGATCTGCCCACAATTTCAATCTCTATAGAATTTGAAACCTTTTCTGATTGTTTGTAGCCGCTGAAATATGATCGTCAAGTAAATGCTTTGAACATCGTTCTCGATGATCCTTCGGAGTATTCATGGTGCATGCCTTGATCTATTCAATCTCAACTCGATATCAGTGCTTTTTCAAAATTTTATTCGATCTTCAAAGCCTTAAATTTGTTTTGGCATCCAGAAGTTGATAGTAAATAAACTTACAAAGTACTGTCTTACTGAAGGTTTTTCAGAAAGCATGCCTGTCTGTAGCTCGCACACTTTTATCACTTTTTGTCTGATAGGGAATGGACATGTTTTTTGCTCGAGACTGGTATGCATTGCCTACTGAATATATGAAGCTAAGTGCAATTTCTGTAGCTCAATTTAATCACCTTCATATTTGTCTTCTTCTGGGCGAGTTATCTTGTTGAGTAATGGTCCAAGTCTAAGAGGATATATTCTCTCTTAGCTGTCCTTTGCTCTCATACAGCAATTGCTTTTTTTTAAAGAATCGCTAACATTCCTTCCTGTATTCTGCAATTCACATTCATTGAGAGCGTAGCAGTGGCGAACCGAGCGGGAGGTGGGGGGGAGAGGAGACGTGAGTTCAAGAATGGATTGTGGTTTTTTGAAATTTACTTAAATAAGTTATAAAAATGTGCAAGGGACTCGTAATACTTGTAAATAATTGAGTTTCAAATTTTTTAAAAATTCAAATTAGGCTTTAAGAAAATTTTTTCGAGCGCGGGGCCTGCAAAAATTTTCAGAAGCATCCCAAGTAATTTTTCGCATTGCCGCCGCGCACCTTCATTCGGAAGAAATTGTTGACCCCCGCCCCCCTTCCGAACGGAAGTCCTTGACCCGCCACTGGAACGTAGCTATGTAATATGAAATGTAAATTCTACTGTTATCGAATCTGTTAGTTAGTTTTTGCAAGACGGGACCAGCTGTTTTGGTTCCTTCTTTTCATGAAATATCTGTTTTTTTTTTGGTTCTCTTCCACCTTAGTCTCATCAGATCATATGATGATACCAAAACTGTACTCTCCGCGCTTATTTTCCATTTTTCTCTCGATTCCAACGAGATAATTCATTTTTCTATGATTTCACGAAAAGGCCTGAGCTGGACGGCGCTGCAAAATTCCTTGCTCTCCTCGCAGCGCTATTTGGAGCAGCTTTTCGGCTGTAATCACTGACGTACAGTCCCGCATGTGCGATTACTGTTCAGTGTGGCGATGTTTGAGCAGTGTGTGATAATCTGGAGAAATGACGTCGCCGTCGCTGTCAAAACCAGTCTTATGCACTCATGAGAACGAGTAGCAACTGCTCGTGTGCTCCTGTTCACCCGGTGTCTCGTCCCACCCCGACGGCACGTAGGCGGTCGTTGCCGTTCGTACTCTGCTGCGATGGCGATTTCCTTTTCTGTTATCGAGATCCATCTTGGATATGTAGTTCCCTCTCACGCCGTTCATCATCATCATTATATTGAAAAATGCGGCTTCGTAAGAATGCACTTGCATGTGGTGCACATTTACTATAATGTCTGCCTTTAGTTCCCAATCTGTAGGATGTCGGGCTCGACATCACCGGCACGGCTTACTCGGAAACTTTCCAGCACCAAGATAGCCAAGCAGCTAGCTGTAAGCTACTTACACTAGAATTACCTTTCACAACGACGCTTTCAGGGACTTAGTCTGCGATCCGATGATATTATGGACCAGGGTGAGACAGCCCGTCACGAAGGTAGATTCGTGTTCGAATGTAGCTGGGAAGTCGCCAACAAAGGTACTTGTTGAAAAGATAACCTGAGAAACTTTTATGGCTCACAAGTCACAAAACTAGCGTAATTTCGCAAACGTAGAGACTGTATAGGTATGGTAAGGCCAAACCATGCCTGATCGTAAGTACAATTTCTGAAGGTGTAGTAAAATTTACTGACACGATCGCGCGCACGACGATTACTGCACTTCCTTCGCTTCATTTTGTCCATTCTTTTTCCCCCTTTTCGCCTTTCTTCATTTTTGGTTTCTGAATCCGAACAAATCGTTAGTCTAGCGTTGCTTCCTCATCAACCTGTTTTAAAATCTATGCTTTACAGTCTTAGACCCGATCCCACTTCGTTGTTATAATGACGCACAAATCCATTCCATTTGGTAGCAATATATCACTAACAAGGGAAGGAACGTTAGTCGAAGTGGCTTTTCAATACAAGATGGATAATGCCTTGAAGGGTATGAACCGCTGATTACAATCTACCTTCCGTCTGTTACGGATTTTTCAAGCGAAGAGTTATGAAGGTTTTTATGAGCAAAATTTCGAAGGTGCAGCTAGGATAAATTAGCCGTAACATTTTTCCTAGGACTTCAAGGGAATGGTCAGAAGTCGAAGTGGCGAATCCATACAAGCTGCATACCATTAGATGCAGCATAAAGCGCTGACTCTAAATTTGTCTTCCTTATCTGCAGAGCGCTTTTGTGGACGAAATCATAAGCCGTTGAAAGCCATTATTTTGCTAAGAAATTGTGCGTAAGTGCAAACTTGGCCGCACAAAGCCATTCTCGGCTCAGTGTTGGACCAAAACATGCAACTGGGTCACTTCATACCGTACCTAGAGGCGAGCTGAAAGAGCGATAATATGCCTAATTTCGCAATTTTTGTACGCGGTTTTTTGCAGTAAAGCCGCTCATAACTTCGCCTACAAAGGCGCTCTGCAGATATGAAAGACAGATTTGAAATCAGCATTTTATGCTGCATCGAATGGTATGCAGCTTGTATGGATTGGCCACTTCGACTTCTGACCATTCCCTTGTCACATGATTTTTGAGTTCCACTGTGTAATGAATATTCTCATCCAAACATATCTATGAAAACCGCCTCATTTGAACGCTAGAAAGTCAAATACAGATTTTACACTGGTCATGCATTGAAATTTTTGCCCACAAAAACCTTCATATTTCCTTGCTCAGAATCCGACAGCAGATAAGAAAGGTAGAGTTGGAATCCGCGTTTCATACCCTTCATGGGAGTATCCCATTTTGAAAGGCCACTTCGATCAACCTTCCTTTCCTTGGAAGTGAGAGCGTTGATTTGACCATCTTCTCGAAATAATTTAATTTTATTTGAGACCAAGGAAATTTTAGACCAATGATTGAGACCTAGGAAATTTTAGACAGATTTGTATCTGACTATTTAACTCCACCTTGGGAGGTTTCTCAAGATAGGTTATCGCTATGTTTTATCCAAATCCATACGAAGAGGTATAGGTTGCATCAAGTCATTTTGTACGCTTGACTCTATACTTGATGTGAAAAATATACCTCTGACTTTATACGAAACTTTTGTAAACATCACTCGCATCTTTTCAAGTCGGCGGCATATACACTGTGCTTCGTACAAAGGCTCCGATTTCCACAGAAGAGCTTGGCGACCAGTACTGTATGCTTGGTCCTTACAATGAGGATCGCGTCAAACTAGAGGTAACTATCTTGCTGCCTTCGTTATCTTTGTCTCATGATTTGTACATCAACAATCGCCCTCGTGCTTGGAAATTACGCATGTGTTGGGAAAAAGTGTTTTTATTCTAAGAAGTTGTTATCAATTGTCACTGATTACAGCAAAGTGTCGAGTAGCACGCGGTTATTCAGTAGCGTCATATGGTTTCAGGAATGTTTTGTTGTTGAAGGATGACTTGCAACTAGTTCAGTCACATTCCTTTGTTTAGGTAGAAGTTCTCGAGCCAGACAATGCTGCTATGAAATATGCTCTTGATCATGCACGCGACAGTGGATTCAAGGTTCAAAAGAGAATAGAACGCGTAGAAACCACTCATTGCAAGCAGATTTAGCTTGTTTACGGTCGTTGGCTAATCGACGGCTATCCAAAGGTAGTACTGTTCGACATAGGTTCGGCTGCGTGGAAGCTGGATCAGTGGAAGCATGAGGTGGAAGTTTTTGGCGAACAGCGTATCCGTATGTTTCAAAAGCGATCTCATATGGGTAGATGTGGTCAATAACAAAAGTGGGTATACCTTGGCACGACCGCGAGGCGAACGACTGCGTAATTTTAGGATTTATGGTAGCAATCTTTTTACAGAAGGTATGTACTACCTATTTGGAAAGAAATTGCAAAGTATCTGATTTGTAGTTTGCCGAGGCAATAGCTTCCGAAGAGCCGCTGATCGTAGCACACTTTCATGAGTGGCAGTCAGCCGCTGGTCTGATTATGAGCAGGTAGTAGGACTCATTTGTGCTAGAGTAGTAACCTTTGATTCAACTGGCTTGGCGGCTAGAAGGTGGGGCTTTGTGACCTACTTAAGGCCGCTCGCGCCCGCGACACTGTCTGCGTCTCTCTCGCGCGCCCGCTTTTTGTCATTATCTAGCCTTGGGTCGTGAAGCCCCGCCTTCCAGCCGCCAAGCCTGTTGAATTAAAGCGTATACAGTAGAGTCTCGAAAAATACATCTTACTTAGTTTTCTCGATTATCCTATCCAGGATTCTCAATGCGTTTTCTCGCGCGAACATCTTCCAACTCTTATCTTCAATCTTAAAGCTGCTAAATTAAAGCTCTTCATTATTTTCACGGCCCGCAAAATCTTTTATGCTGAGGTGGCTCTCTTCTTCCTATGAAATGGCAGTTCGTCACTTCAAATAAGGTTTCATTGCCAAAATGTTTTTTATGACATCTCATAATGAAACGAAACGATGTATCAAATGTAGTTTCTCCCCTATTTACATTATTCACATGGTTAAGATATATTGGAATTTAGAATCTCCATTTACTTTTCATCATTTGAAAATATTTTGTGTTCTCAAATGCCATGTAAAATTTTCCGGGAACATCGTGAATAGTCGAAATGGTTATAAAAAAGAGTTCTTGTTCCCCTCCTTCGACTTTCTAGGATAAGCTATTGACCGGCCAGCTCCGTTAGTTCAGGCTTAAAACAAGAAGGCGAAAATAATCATGTTTTTTTCGATCATTTGTGAAAATTTCATGCTATCTCAGCACTATGTAATAAACATACTTCTTGATAGTAAAGTAAGGGACCGACTCTTATAGCGATTGTCGACACAGCCATTTCTGGGCTAAGAAAATTTTTAAAAAAAGCAAAAGTTTTACTCAGTGCTTCAAGCATGAGATCAGAGCGCTCTCAAACCATCCTAATAGTCCATGATAATACTTGGCCAAGCCAGAAGTCAAGAGGATATCCCTCAAAAGTTGAGGAATTTTCATAGTATAGGGCCAAATTCTTGTATTTTTGCTCAGAGTAAGCAAAAGCCCAAATGACCAACTTGAGCTGGCATTCACACGCATGAAAGTGAATTCAGCATCATCAGACCTTTGAACACTTTTCGATTTGTGAGTAAGGGTTCTCAAAATCTTAAGGGTACGGTATGTTTCTGCTTTGTGCATCACTGCATAAGGACGTGTGCTGAGTTTGCAAAAATTTTGGATGCGATCATCTTTCGGTGATTAGAACACTACTCAACCTGACTGTCCAAATCATTGCCTGGCATACCACTGCTTCTTTTGGGGTTGCGTAGTAATTGACAAAGACTGGAAAATGATTTAAATGCTCTCCCAAGACAATCTAGCTAGCACTCTCATTTCCAGAGAAAGAGGAGCGGGCTTTTGGAGCTTCGTTCTTGTATGCATGCTAGTGGACAAGTCACGTTAGGAGTCTAGGATCGCTTACCAAAATACGGCAAAAGTTCTCTAAAGCATTACAAGTCACTTACGACTAGGTAATAGTATTTCTTTCAAGTATGTTAGCGCTTCATTGTCCTCTCTGACATACTTCTCATGTAAAGCCACTCCCAAAGTTGCAGTTATCTCCAGTTGCACTCTGGCTTCTATGCTGGACCAACTGTAACCCAAAACTCTATCATTTGAATTTTCTGAATCAAATCTTGTCATGCCTCTCTTCTTCTGTCCATACTGAAACTCTCAAAATTGTATCTCCGTATCTCGATAAAAAAAAGGGGGAGGGGTAAGGCAGCCTTTTCTGGTTTTTCATTCGGTTATAGGTAAGCTCAAAATATTCTCTGGTAATTCACATCCTTGTTTTCCTTTGCAAATACAAGCGACTGTGTATTACAGATTATGGAAAATTAATATCTCGCTGGTATTTACTACGCATGCCACTTTGATAGGACGTCATATCTGCGCCGGTGGTATAGACCTCTACAATAATCTTGATAGAGTAAGTACTTTTTTACTGCAAGGTTCGATTGTGCAGTTTATTTAGAAAATTTGTGGTGGCCTTTTCAGCGCAAAAATCTTCAAAATATCTTTGGCATGCGCTGCTTTAGACATAATTATTGTTGTAAATTTTGTACCTGAAGCCTGTAAGCCCGTCTTCAAGTCGATGTTGACAGGGCTCGGCATGAGGTAGCTTTTTCATTTTTTCAAAAAGGAAGTCCCCATAGACTTCGCCGCAAAAATACGACATCACCTATGACGCGATAATGAATGGATCAAACACGAATAACAAGAAATAATGACACAAAAAATAACAACATTAAACAGGCGAAAAAGAATTGAAGAAGTTCGTCTTCTCCGAATTGGCGACATGCTGTGTTCGGCGCGCACTATTGCGCTTGGAGCAGGCTTGGCGCCATTATACATAATATCTGGAGGGCTGTAACTAGGCGAGAAGACTTGGGGAGATTCAGAGGGTTTATTGTAGGGTTTTTGATGTAGAACAAAGTTATGTTGAACTTATGAAGTTATGTAAAGGAAGGAAAATTTATGACTCTTTCTTTTCATAGCAACCTCAGGTGACTGTCCGGTGGCTGGAAAGCCATCTAAGCCACCGAAGAAAGTTTGCCGCGCCCTTTCACATAACTTTTTCATAATTTTTTCATAGTCCTAACTCCCTAGCCCACCTACACACCAATTTTGGTTCATTACTTTTCTCTTCGCTGTCAACAAGGTTTTGGTTTATTTCGAGGCATTTTCAAATTCGCGCGCTTAACTGGCGAACCTGTTGAAACAGGAATTTTATTGTTTTTACAGGAATAGGGTCGATAAGGCATAAATGACAGTCTGCGTCTTCTAAAGAACATGAAGGGTGGCATAAGAGGGAGAAAGTGATTGTGGGCTAGGAGGGGGGGGGGGCGGCTGGGGTTTTTGCAAACGGTATCCCCTTTGCTTTCTAGCCCGAAACAATATCCAGCTTGTCCCTAAGCCACCTATACGGAGACCCTGGAATTTGAGACCTTTCGATCGGATTTTTGTTGCGCCTAAGTATGCACAGCTTAGTTCTTCTTGTAAGCTGAGTTTTTTTCATGTCTACAGTTTTTCGAATAGTTTTTTCTATTAAGATTGATGTCGACCGTGAAGCGGGCGAACGACAAATCTATCACCGCTATTGTATCGAACGAGCAGCAGTACACCTGGCACACGTCTTCACCACTGTCAGGTTTGTGCATCCATATCCATTGCTTGTTTCTCATTTTGCTCCTGATTGTCTATCTATTTTTCGACTTCCACAGCAAACCCCGGTTATGCACTTGGTGAGAAAGAATTCTTAAAATCCTGCTGTCCTTGTATTTCCGTCGAATTTTCCGCCGCAGGTTCCTCGTCTCTATTTTGTTTTCGTTCTGCATTCAAATGAGATCTCTCTGAGATAGGGTTCCAGCTGCTGGTGTTTAGTCCAACTAATATTATACTTCTTTTAGAGATGTTGTTATATGTAGATTTTCGGTGCCATCTTCGAAATCACAAAGCTCTGTACCGGTAAATTTGATAGCGCTCCTTTGTTTTCAACTGCGCTTTTAATCGTCTATGTACACCTTTTCGATCAACAAAAGGTTGCTTTGTTTATTGCATACCATACACGGCCTTCTTAATGCTTTGCTCTTCGTCTCATCTTCTTACTTGTTCATTTTACTCATCGACCTCTTTACTTGTCGACAAACATCGCTAGCATTTTATTTGTCCTATGGGAGCACCTGTCTTTTTTTTAACCTACTTCCGTTCATCCCAGTCTTTATTTTTTTTTCGAACTTGTGCCAATGCGTTTTTATGTCAGAGCAAATCATTTTTCCAAATACATTCAGCCTTTGATCTTTCTCTACGTGTATGGACTTCAAAAGTGAGGCGACTTTCTGTCGCACTTGAAATATCTATGATAGATAGACAAAGTTAGCATTAGCGAAAGTAAACCGATTTCTCTCTATTCTGACTACATTCCTAAATTTTGCAAGCCTAATCCAGGAATAGAAAAGAGGTTTATCAACAAAAAAATTGTTAAGTAATTTAGTTTTCATAAAACTTTTAAAATCGTATCCAATATGGGAAATAGCTTATTTCATAACCCAATTATGCAAATGTTTACTGTTATCAGCCCTTTCTTGACGCATGGTGAGCGATAATGTATCCTGATTTTACTGCGCTGCTTCTAATCACAAATAATTTGGTTTTCATTTTTACTGATGCATTATCACCTGCATCACCTGCTGATCCATATAACCATATCGTCAGCCGACTAATGTCAAATCAGTAAACGATCGCATTTTTGTATGACTTCACCACTGAGCACCTTCAAAGAAGCCTTATAGCTCAAGTATGAGTGCATGCCATGTTCTCAAGACAACGGCTGCATTTTTCCAAACAAATTTTGGTTAAAAAGACAATCCGCACTTTTCAGTTAGGTGCCGCACATTCGGATCTTTTTTTTACTCGCTATATTCTCAGAGATTTTTTATACAAGCACAACTCGGGTTTGAAGCGACAATCTACTATACTTTTCGTCTACAAAATCTGCACAAAACTTTGCTCACTTCCTTTATTGTAATTTACCAATGAATCTTACCAGCGCAGGATCCCTGACTTCTGACAGCAGCCTCGGCTGTCAGCAGCAGCACAGATTAGCAGTGAATAACAAATAACACCACAATAAGCACCAACTCCTCACGCTAGAAATCATTCACAAAAAAGGTGATAAGCTGAGTCATCTGTCAGGTTTTCAGTTCAGTGGGTGAACAACAAGCAGTGCTCACTGTGGTCTTTGCAATGGGTAGCTGGAGTAGTTCGGCTATCAAGACTTTAGCTGCATGGCTAGTCAATATGCAGCACTTGTTGATTTAGAGAAATTACGAAACAGCCATCAAAATCACCATTCCTCATCCGTCTCAAAGAAAAAAATCGCACCGAGTTGGTACTTTTTCATCTCTATGACTCACTTGCTTATCTTGACCCTCTAAATCTCATTTCCTCTTTCTCGTCCAAAAGAGACCTAGCTTTCTGAGCATTGCCAGCTCAACTTCCAATCTGCCAAACACCTTTTGCTGCTGCTATTGTTTACAAAAATTTAACACGCTTCCCTCTTAAAGTTAGGCTCAACATTTTTGCGCACGAAAACTACTTTCCAATTTTTCGTGTCGTTCATGATGGGCACTTCATATACAATACTTAGGAAAGTCTCACTGTTGATGGCTACGTAGCAGTCGTTCGTACCCATAGCATGTATTTTCTTTGATCTAAAATCTTTTAGAAGAAAGAAGCAGCATCTCTTTTGTTGCTCAGTCTATGAATTTTTTCATTTCAATTCATCTATCATATAGGCAATCGCAAAAAATGTAACAACAACGAAAACAAACAAGAAATTCAACATAAAATCGCAAAATTCAAGTAGTAGCACGAAAACTCGCGTTAGTAATTAGTAACAATATCGTCGTGTGGTTGTAGATAACTCTTTAGAACAATCTTGAACGAAGACGGCTCAGCAGGACCTAAGCGCTGTCTAATAAGCTTAATGTTCATGGGGACGCAGCAAGTGAAATTTATTTCCGAACCTTATGCTTTGATCTGGAAATGACCAACTTCGATTAGTTCTTCATCCATATTAAAGAAAGAAATGATTTGCTCTCAGAATGTTGTATCTCCTTTTTCGTCCTCATATATCCCTATTTTTAGCGAAATTACCGGCCTTGAAGCTGAGCATCTGCTAGGACGGAAACCAGACATTCTCACGCCAAACGGGTTGAATGTTGTGAAATTCTCTGCCATACATGAATTCCAGAATCTACATGCTATTGCAAAGGAGAAAATTCATGATTTTATACGAGGACACTTTTATGGGTAAGTACATTTTGGTAGAGATTTGAATAAGAGAAGAATAATGGCTGTCACTGCAAGTAGTGAGATGATTCTTGGCATATTGAGTAAACCTCGAATATTCATGACGAAACAGTGTCTAAGCTTGCTTACCCAAGTTTGTGTTTCACATTTTCACATTTCACATTTCACATCTGACTCAGATTTCTCCAGGAATTCATAAGCTGTACAGCTAATTAACAAGCAAGCAACTGAAAATTATTGATCCGTCGTTTCTTCTCCACATTATTTTTGCATGCTCTAAACATTATAAATTTCCCATCATCCACGAGAGAAAGCACGAATTTTCAATTTATTCTATCCCGGATATAAAGAGAACTACATAGAGTGATGTTTCAGTAATCTCAACTTCGATTTGGATAAAACGCTCTACATTTTCACTGCTGGGCGTTACGAATTCACAAACAAAGGCGGTGATTTCTTCATAGAAGCCTTAGCCCGACTTAACTATAAACTGCAGGTGTGCCTTGAGTTATTTTTCAAATGTTTTATCACAGAGGGCATGTCAATGCTAACTCTGGGATTTTCATGTGTGGGACTGGGTCTCACTTCACTTTCATAAAGCTCAAACATGCCTCGTTGATACGCGGTCGCATTGAATCGCTCATGCTTGGCGCCGTTTGCTCAGTTTGCATTGAATATCCGTTATCATTACGTTTCCAAAGCCATTGTGCCACTATATCACTCTTGGACAAAGGAGACGATGGCAAAAACACCACAAAGTTTTTATAACCTAGCCAATATCGCTCTGTATGTCGAAAAGAATACTCTTAATTTTTGTCACCAATGCGATAGAACATACGGTGTAATAGTCCTTTGTGTTATCGCTCTCACCTTCCACATATCCTTATGAACTTGTACAGCCTATGCTTCAAGTGCTAGTTTTAGATTTATATCAACAAAAAAAAACGTTCTGCTTTTGGCGCATACTGTAATGCTGCGTTCATACTGATTCGGAAGTTTGGGAACAGTTCTAGCACAACGCTAAATTCGAGCGCTGGGCTGAAACTGTTCCCAAACTTCCGGATCAGTATGAACGCAGCCTAAACGCAGGTGACTAGCATGAAGACGAGCTATTAATACGCTGCATAGAGCGTAAGCGCTTATTGTTTGCTTAGGTGAGCCACTGCTCACGACGGTAAATGAGCTGGTTCAGCTGAACTAGCCGATCGCTTCTGTTATTCTCTAAAGGCTTTTCCCCTCTTTTGACAGAGTTGCGTTTTATTAGTTTTTTTCTTGTTTTCTTTTCTGTCTTTTCGTTTTGCGTGCTCGTTGCATGTGCAGTGCACTTGTTCTCGTATCCATACGAATGCACAATGAACATGATGCGATCGTGCGAAGGCGGGAAGTGTCATTTTCGGCCGGGCGGGTTTCGGCAATTACTGGTTACGTTTCGGACAGGGGCGGTATTTATCAATCTCCTGTATGGGAAGGGGTTCCCGTAAAGGTCACAGCCCGTACGGGCGCGGGCACTGGCGCCCGCGATATATGAAGCCAAGCTGGTGACCGGGCTCCTGTCTATTGAATATGGTCCGATCTGGCAAGTTCCAGGTCGGGCACGGCAGTCGGGTAGCAGTTCTCCATCTCGACGAGTCGGGTCTTTCATAAATCGCGGGAAGGGTGTTCTCGCCTGTGCGGGCTCTCGTTAACAATGGCCCGCACAGCGAGTGGAAGAGAGATGAATACTGCCCCAGGTGTAAATGGAAAAGGGAGGGGCAGCGTGTTTTATTTTTGATCTTTGCAGTACTGCTGCAGATCTATCCACTTTCTGTTTGTGTGCCGTTGTTTACTGTTTGTTTATCAGCCACAGACTGCCAAGAACTCAGTGAAGGTGCTGATAACAGTTGTAAACCTTCCCCCCCCCCCACCCCTCCCTCTCCGCTCCTCTCCCCTTCCCCTTCCTGGACAACTGCTCCAGGTGCAGTGCCATCCCCTTTCGCTTCCTCATAGAAGTGGCACAGCTTTGTGAGTTCGTATAAGTTACACGCAATGTGTAGTTCATTTAGCTCCAACTCATGCTGATTAGGGTTTCCTTTTAGTGAGTATTCTGCACAAGTCGCTTAGACAGCATTGCAGTGTAGCTTGCTCTTTCTATCTGAATAGTTTGAGGAAAGAGGACGGTGTAATGTGGACGCTTGTTCTTTCTATTCATTCTGATATATGTATGTAAAGAGAAATAATCACACACGTCTGTTATGTGGCATTATAAATACATGTTGTAAGCGCATATTATAGTTTGGATCGCTCAGAAACAAGCTAAATCCCTGTGTTTAGTCGGGTTTTCAATAAAAACACCCTCTCATACAAAAACACTTGCTCGGCAATCACTGTGCCCGCCCACTCCAAATCACAGCGCCGTGCTTTTTTGTTATCGCATGTTGACGCTAGATCCACATAATTTGAAGCCTACCATATCCTTTTCGTTAGTCTGCAAATATGTACAATTACACAGATTTGTACGTTTATTTGTCATCGGCGTCTGAACGTTGTTTTTCGTAGTGTGTATCCCCAGAGGTGAACATGTATCCACAAGCATGTTGACTTGAGGGATGAATGCGGAAGCTTGACCATCTCAAATATAATAAGCCTCTCGTGCAATAGGGTAGGCAAACGGTTTCGGGTTTCATGATCGTGGTAAGAATGAAGCGTGATTCTGAGTACTGAGCTGCAGCTGGGAATAATATTGAGATGTCAATGCGATTATTTATTGACGATCAATCTTGCTCTTACTCTTACTTCACTCTCACTACTTCTCAATGCACTCTGTTAAAAATGGGTTTCTGACTTCAAACTGAGAGTAACGCCTGCTGTCATGTATAGAGAAAACTGGCTGTAATATAGATCATGTAAAAAGCAACATTACGCAATGTTTCGGAAGTCTGAAATGATAGTAGTTGCCGTTGTCGAAGTTGTTTGTGATTCGGATTAAATGGCAGTCAGAGAGAAAAAAGAGTTGAGAGAGTTCCCGTGTGGTTTTTGGTATTACGTATTTACCTTGTAAAGTAAATCGTATTTTGCTCGTGGGTAACTCGGTTAATCCGCAGGAGTCATTTATTTTTCCATGTTGCAGCACATTTCTGTTTTTATCTTGTAGTGACAAATAGTACATTACTTGCGTATGGGGAGTTGAAGCTTATATATGATGCTAGGCAGTAGATACCTAGATGATGAAGAATTTGTAAGCCTATATTTGCTCGAGATCTGGCTGCTTTAATTCGCCCATGGGTATCCGTTGCCATCATGTGACCCGTCCTCCTACATCCGGTCACTTGCGCGTGGGTGGAGTTTCTCTGTGCTTCATCATAAGGTGAAGGCTTCGTTGGTTATTCAAAAAAGCTGTTGAGCTATTGAGTTGCACTGATCTTATGCGAAAAAGGACTAGTGTCGCATAGGGTCTATTCTGAATAAGCAGCAGTTGTGACTTCGGCACAAAAAATGCTTCACTTTGATCTCTTTACAGACGAGCTCAAGTAAAACATTGTAGCATCCTCATTCTTTGTATGTACAGCCTCATCGCAACAGCACCAAAAAAAGAACGTTTCGTCCAGTTTCTAATCTGCCTTCCCCTTTAAACAAACAACGCGGTGCTTCTTTTCGTATAGAACTAATATCATACGTGGTTTTATGCAACGTGTTAATGTAACAAGGTGATCTCTTGTGAAACAATCGGACCAAGACCACTGTTGAATGTTAGTCGCTCCGAGGTCTCTTTGTCTGCTCGGATGAATTCTTTTGCGCTTCGGTGATAAAAGTTGATTACCGCGGCGGCGCTTATCTCAGAGTACTCCGTCATCCACTCCTTAATTCGTTCTTAGTCACTTTTCTGCGCAGGAAAGCTCATTGACAGAGCTAATTAGGCTAAAATCTTTTACTTGCGCACATAATCTCCTGCCATCCAACTTTTGCGAATAAATGAGGTGCGAATATGTGAAGATTTTTTCTGCTGTTCGTCGAACACAGCTGCAGGCTTGTTATGCTTGAATTAGCAACCTCACTTCTTATGCCACCTGGCTTTGTTGTAACATCTTCACCATAGGTCTGGGGTGTGAATTTGTATCTCCGTTGTACTGTAGGCTGAACTTTTTGAACTCAAATTTACACCATTTTGGGCTTGTCTACTATTCATTGCAGCTGCTTGTTTTCAACTGCCTCATATAGACGTCCTTTTTCAAAGCAAACTCAAGTTGTCCCTACCACCTACATTTCTCGCCAACGTAAGACTGTTTGTGTTTTCACATCGAAGTATTTGTACACCTTGTCTTAGCACGAACCGGCCAATGCACATTGAGCACTTGTACTGTACCGTGATTTGAGATGCACATCCGAAGAGTATTGTCTTTCAGTGCGCCCACCGTGACTCCGCCACTTCGACGGGATCCAGGAACAGCAGCGGGGGCGTAAATACTCCAGGAGTGACCCTTTCGGGCGCGCGCTCAGCTTAAGCCCCGCCCTCCTTGACAGTGCGATGCCAGCTCGCCATGGACGTCGGCCTGAACATTATCGTACTGATCGTGCTCTATTCAGCGCTGGCAGTAACTGGTCTGCTCGGCAACATCTGGGTGCTGATCACGGTCTCGTCGCAGTTGCTGGGCTGCTGCGGATCATCAGGACATCGCGGGCGCATCGTCAAGCCGAACACGCAGAGCTCAGCCTACATCTACCTGTTGCTCTTGTCCGTGGTCGACCTTATATCGCTGATTCCGGTGCCGATGCTGGTCGCCGATCTGCAGGAAAACGAGTTCATTTTCGGGATTGCTCTCTGTAAACTGCTCTGGTTCAGCGAGGGCACCAACAAGACCCTGTCGCCAATGATCCTCACAGCTCTCTCGATAGACCGATACATAGCCGTTTGTAAACCCGCTCTAGTTTGGATGCGACAGACGAAGTTCGCTGTCTTTGTGGTGTCTATCTGCATCATGGCTTCCTTGCTTTTCATAGCTCCAATAACAGCGCATGCGAAAATCGCCGATATGCCGGATTCTAAAGGCATGGAGTACAGAAAATGTACTTTGGGCGAGAACCTCTGGTTTGATCTCGTTCACACGCTCACCTGCTACGTCGCTCCACTTCTACTGATATTCTCTGTCTATATTGTGATCTTGGTCAAGCTATTTCGGCACACGAGATTCTCAACCGTTGGGAGAAAAACTAGCATCTCGCTGTCTAGAGTGGTCAAGTGCTCTGTGCTAGTCGTCGCTTTTTACTTTATTTGTTGGACTCCGTATTGGACGATGCGTATTCAGGCTTTAGCAAATGGTGAGCGATTTTGTTTACAATTTTTTGGGTTGATTCTGAAGAAGTGCGCTAGGAATTGTGTACGAAATAGAGTGCCCCCACATTTTCTAGTAATACTAAATACCCTACTAGCACTCGTATACGAAATTCCAATTTCAAAAAAGCTCATATTTAAGCACTAGGACAAAAGTTGCACGAGAAGGAGACGTTTAACATCGGGATCTTCGGCTGTCACTCTTTTCTGCTCTCTTGTTGTAGATGAATTATTCAGAATCCTGCGAAAGTGGTAGATGTTTTGATCGAGAGTGAACTACTGAAAAGCAATTCATGTTTTCGTCGTAGCCGTGCTGGTGGGATACTGAGAGACGGTCTTGCTTTGTCCGGTTTACACTTATGCGATGATAGCTCATTTCGAGTGTAGCGCTGTTTTATCTTGCCAAAGATAGGAGCATGATTCTGCTCCTAAAGCTAGCTTTTCCACTAACAGCGTTTTTGCTCCAAAATCCATCGGCCCTTCCATGCAATAGTTAAGACGAGCTTTTGAAATATGAGATGAATGCCCGAGGTCCGGATGAAAGCCTGGAGCCGTTGTTTGCAGGATTCACAGCTCAAATAATGATTTATTCGTGGGAAAGAAAAACTATGTAGGCTGCGGCGAGAAATGATTGTCATTTCCTTTACTGCTTGCGAGTTTTCATTATGGCTTTGACTTCGCTAGTTCATTGTTTTATGCTTGTTGCTCTGGCACGATTATTTGGCCTCCAGAGTCTTATCAGATGACGTGCACGCTTGCTATGAGAGGCAACCATATATAAAGAAATCACCGTGGAGATATGCTTTGTGTTTTACAGAAGCCGAAAGAAATGTGGCCGTGACGTTTGGAAATGGCACAGATGAAGAGTACGAAGACGCAGCGGAGGGGACCGAAGCACCGGTGAACAACATATACTTCATCATGTACCTGATGCATTCGCTTCCGTACGCGCAGAGTGCGTTCAACTGGTTATTCTATGCGTTTCTCAATCGAAACCTGCGCAACTCGTCCGGGCGATGCAGCAACGGCGTGAGGTCGCTGCCGATGACGAGCACGATCACCGTGAACGGCGCGAGTTCGGCCAGTGGCCTGACGCCGCTCTGGAAGAATATACAGCACGTCGGCACTCAGCTGAGAACAGCCGGCATCGACACGGGAAACGCGCTGCTGAAGATGTCCCCGTTCCGCACCCGCTCGCGGATGCAATCGAGGTGGGCTTTGCTGAACTTATGCTTGATTATTATTATCTGTAGCCCGTTTGGCAGCTCTGAAATTGCATTCTATTCTCCTTGAAAATCAAGCGCATGATAGTAACTTCAGTTTTGGATCTCTGCAAAATTCTTGTTTTTCTATGTACCACAAATACACACGTATTACTTTTCTATCGCAAAATACCATTATCTCGTTTCTCAGGAGCTCAACGTTTTTGGATTCTACGTATTTGGATCATCTCATGCCACCTCCACCTGCAACAAGTTCATCGTTATTGGATTTGCAACGTCGACCTTCAACATTGATTCCTCGCCAGGAGCCATCACTGGTTGGGAAAGCATTATCCTTTTCCGATTTGCCACATTCTCATCTAATCGAGAAGCCTAAAGAATTGTCACCATCGGCGGTCTCCGAGAGTTCATCGGTAGAATGGTTATGATGATGGCTTTTTGTTCCACAGATCTCTCTGTTATAGCTATGTGCACATCTTTTCGTGATTTACGTATGTCGTTTCATATCATACTATAATATGCACCTTTTCATCTTGTTTGTGCATATAAGCTCCACTTTTACGACAACCAATGCAATGATGGGTACCTTGAATGCCAGTATATAAGTGTTTACCGGACGAAATGTTATAGCGTGTGGTCATACGTAGGATATTCCAGATTTTGTACATATTTAAAATTCAAGAGCTGCTGTTATCTGTTTTATTCTCTATTTTTTGTGCGGCCGCCCCTTGCAGTCTCGTAAGAGCCCTCTAGGTTTATCTGAAGTTGGTTTTTCATCGGTTCACTCTCATATGTTTCTCCTTGGACCAGTGTTTTATTTTGATCTCAGTTCTCATTGACAAATAAATCGTTCGCTTTGTTGGCCAAACGTGAAACCACTACTACATTTAATTTCTCACAGGAAAGAGCAATGCTGTCTAATTATAACCAGAGAAAATAACGAGCATCGGGCTTCGTCCTTTATTTGCCCAGTGTCGGCTTTCAGCTACTGTCGCGCATTGTGTCCAGCGATCCTTGGAGAGGGGAGAGTGATTGGGGGCGCTAATTTTGCGCATAATAACAGGCGAAAGTAAAAAAGTCAGTAAATTACTGCTTTGTTCTATACATCATAAGAACTGGCTACCACTGGGAACATTTAGATCTCTCAAGACCCGCGTTGCAAGGATGTGACCGTTGTGGCATTCATCATCTATCCGGCCGCAGCGAACTCTTTCAATGTGGATTCGCTACGAGGACAAGCAGTATGCAAGCAGCTTAAGGACACTATCGCCAAAATCAAGGAGAACGTTGCGAATCGCATGTTTGAATCATCTGTTAGGTAAGCGCAGACTTTTTGCAGCCCTCTGCCATAAAAGCGATGTTTGGTTGAGAATGGTTTCTGGTATATCGTTATCTGCGCAGAAGTTTACGGCTTCAATTACGCGCGACCGACTGTTTACTGAGCCGAGCATTGGTTAACAGATGAACCTAATGGGACAATTATTGGCCGCGTTCACCTCTCGTGCCGCCAAGCCGAAAGGCACTTCTTCATCTCACGAGATGGGTGAGAAATGAGGTCCGAGGGCAATCCTGGCAAATCTCAAGCGGAACCGACGCCGTTTGAGGACGACAAGCCGGCGGGGTCACGCTTCGAGCAGCTCTCACTGACTGCAGTTCCTCTAAGGATCGCATTTGTTCCACTCAAAAGCTTCGATGTCACAGAATAGTACGAGTCGCTAGTGGTGATATGCTACGCAAGCAAAAACTAGTGTCATCTATGCTAACTTCTTTTTCTTCTTTTCAGAGGAAAAGTGCCCGAGCCAGAAGACTTGCTCCTACCAGCTGAAAAAGTCCAACTCAAGCGTTGTATCCTGGCGGCGAAGGTATCATCCGCTATTCATATTTGTTTTTCCCACATTTGTAATTGCTATGAAGAAGGTAGGGTTGTGTGAAATTTTCTTAACAAACAGTGAAATATGCTACCATGGCTTTTTCAAATGAGTGTCTATTACTACTGCAAGCAAAGAATGAGATACTGTGCTGTGAAGCTTTGATGTGAAGGTTGAGAGCAACTAAGTTGGGTGATTGTTCAAATCTGTACTTGTTTGTGAGCGCATCCAAGGTACCTCGAACTGCCAGGAGGACTTGCCTGCTTAGGGCAACAAACAGTATTCGTTCTTGTTGAGTGATTTCAAGTCGCATGCGTAGCCGTTGAGTGCAAGAGTTTAGAGCAATCGTAACAGTCTGCCATCAGATTACTTCAGATTAGCCTCTTCTTCATGCGCATAACATATCGTTAGCATAGCATCACGGAGACGTTGGTTACTTTACATGATGAAAAATCCGTCGCAACCTCTTGAAAGGCGCTCATCCATGAATTATTTAGGTGTAACGCTGAAACTAAGTATATTACTCACATAGAGCTGTGCGAAGATACTTTTTAGCCGTAAGTGAAAGATCAGAGCACATTTGTGTTGGAAGTGCATTTGTATCGCGATTTATCAATGCCCACGTGTCAATACAGCTGTACTTACAATTTTGCCAATCTCAAAATGATTGTTTTGGCTTCGCGCTGAGCAGATCCATTCGTACGCAATTCAGACGAATGCTGCACAGTATGGAGGTGCGGGAGCAAAGCGGGTGCGTAGCAAGTGGTACCCGGGCAGCCGACTGCTGACGCAGCCAGCCGCCAGGGCTGGCGTCAGCGCAGCCGGATATGGTAGGAACTACGCAGCAGCCTGAAATTCTCCGCCGAGAGATTTCTTCGCACCTCGTCACGCAGAGCTGCGATATCAGCCTCAGGGACAGCGCGATAATATCGATCTTATATATCAATATCTATATCATTTTAAACAGCAAAAAATTCCTAGTTTATTGAGAACCATGCAAACATTTACAAAACTACATACAAGCGACAAACCTCCAAAATCCGGCAGACAATTACAACTACAAAAGTGAATAAATGAAACTAAATAGTTTTTTTGTCACAAAATTGAACATCATAATGCAATAATTACCAATTGATCTTTTGATCTTTTCAATTTTGGATCGTTTTTTGTGTTTTGACAGTTCTAAAAATTGCTCAAAAATAGAAGTATAGACAAGCAAAAAGATCCGGAAAACTCATAAGCTACACGGTTAGCTTTGTCCTTATGTCTATCTAAAGGTATGCAGTTGTGACTCAAAAAACATGGATCTTGTCTTCTATCATACACGATGACCGGATGAACACCTTGTTCACTTACCTCAAGTTCCCCTCGGGGAACTTCACTAGTTGAAGTGTACAACTGGAAGGGCAGAGGCAACGAATTCTAAAATATTAATTTTTTTCAGAGTTCTATAGGCGCCTCTAATAGAGCCAAATCATGGAGTATCTGAAGAAGCGATAAATTCTCCACGTTCCCATACGCTTGTTGAGCCTGAGGCTCATGTTGAAGGCTATATAGATCAGATATTTTGGTCATTGGTGACCTACTCTATTGTCTTTTATATCAGCATCAGTAACCTACTCAATTTTTGACACGGAAAACAAACCTTTCTTCTCACTTTGGACCGTCCGTCCTCCTCTTTTTTGAATTTTAAAAAACAAAATTTTTGATAACTAAACACTTTTTAAATTTTGAATTATTTCACCTTCTGGTCATTTTAAGAATGAATTTTTGGACCATTTTCTTCTAGAAAACTTTACTCTGTGTAAATTTGTTTATTTTCATTTTATCAATACACTAGGAATTTTTTGCTGATTAAAATGATATAGATATTGCTACTATTGATAATATCGCGCTATCCCTGAGGCTGATATCGCACCTCAACGCGACGAGATGCGAGGAAACCTTTTGGCGGAGAGGTATCAGACGGCTAGCGTAATTATTCTACCATATGCGGCTGCGCTGACGCCAGCTCCGGCGGCTGGCTGCGGCAGCAGTCGGTTGTCTGGGTACCACTTGCACGCCTCCCGAGCAAAGCATATGCCAATTTTACTGCTACCGCACACTCCAAGTAATCGAGAAGGTGTTGATGCGCGTTAGGGGCATGGTTCATGAGCAGAATCGTGCTTTTATGTCTCAGCCATGTTTAAAGGTGTGGCTCTACTAGAAGTAAAAACAGACAAGAAACATTCTGGCACCCTTGTAAGATCACTGACTGCGAATAGCCATGTTGAAGGCGGAAGGAGCGGCCTTTCCAGCACCACATCTGTAGCTCATTCCCCACGTAAACTTCGAGCAAAGGGTTTACAGCCAGATGCTACGTAGCAGCGCTCGCTTGCATTCTTGCCACAAGCATTCCTGAAAATGAGAACGTATGAACACATGGCAGGAAATAGTGATTTGAGAGAGGGAGCACGTGTTTGCTTGTTGTGTGACAGCGTGGTAGCGAGGTAAGAGAAGCCTATTGTGCTCATAGCTGCGATTACAAACTACTCGCAGCATGCAGTGCGGCGATTCTGTACTCACAAGGGGAAGTGTCAGAAGTCGCAATGGTTTTTTGACATGAGATAGGTTTCATTTGATGCACCTGAGACGCTGATTCCAAAATAGCCTTTCTTAGCTGTAGGACGAATCTGGGTCGAAAGTCATCGAATTTTAATTTGCGAAAATCTTACAACGCTGGAAGTAGGCAAAACTGTATAAACCCATATTTATATAGATGAATAGTTTATCAATGCCTAATGTAATTCTGTTCCCTCAATGCTTGCTGGAGTGCTTGAAAGGCAGCGTCTCGGCAGAATTTCGTTTTCCAGATTTTCACCTTTTCGGAGCCTTTTCACCATAAACGCATATCTTAGCGCTTTTAACCGCATGATAATGGCAAAAATGAGCTTTTTCCGAAGTTTTTCTGGTACGCATTTAGTGAAGATACGATGGAAGCCTCTCCCGCCCCGCTTTCTTCGTACCCGCCCACTTACGCGTATTTTCCACTGAATGCGGTCCTGGAAAGCTTCGGAGAAAGCTCATTTTCGCCATTTTCATGCGCTGAAAGGCCCAAATACGGATTCAACACAGCGAGAAGGCTCCGAAAAGGTGAAAACTATAAAACGCAATTTTGCCGAGACACTGCCTTTAACAAGCATTCGAAGGATTTCCATGATCACGTCACGTATATTCTAAACAGTGTAGGGGTTGATGATTAAGAATGCCCACAAGTCCCGTTCCGGACTTGTTCTGCATAGGGGAGGCTGTTTTGGAATCAGCGTCTTCAGAAGATACCTATCTCATGTCAAAAGGCCACTGTGACTTACTTTTTTACATTTCCCTAAGTATATATAGAAAGAAAAAGGAAAAGATTGCAAATTTGAGAATACCATACGTTTTCTGCTTTACTAGCGTGACACTCTACCTCCGATTTGCACACACAACATGTTGGACAGCGCAAACGATCCAGTGCTGCAGTCCCTACGTCGCGTACAGCTGTTCAATCACGATTACGATCGCGTAAAGGTGAGTTTGATTGACATCGTCTAGGCTTGTACATTTCATATGAGAATTGTAAGCTAGGCTTTTTATGCTGCAGAACAGACTAATGCGCAATTTTCGGCGTCTAAAAGTATAGACGTTCTTTGCGCATATTTAGACACAATCGATGTCAACCATGTGCTCCCTTTCCCGTAGCAGCTACGCGTCCGCACCGTAAGGTTCTAACGCGGTGACCCCGATCAATGGGGCGAGATCTGAATGGCAGCCTTACGTGCGCGAACGCGACGCAAGGCTCTGGGGTTGCGATTTGGCTGGTGGAAAGGGGAACACAAGGTTGACACGGGCTGTACTACGTTCACGCCGCATTACCTGTCCTTTACAGAAGTCATTTCTATAACAAAGGGCCTTAAAAAACAATGCAGATTTGATACGCATATTGGGCTTATGCAGGAAACTGAACCTTGCTTTTTGAGCTTTAGAAACAACCTACTATGAGTATGATGATTTTCCATTTTTGATGCTCTTTCCAATTATTAGGATCTAGTTTCACTATTCTAATTCTTACCTCGCACGAGGTCTGAAGGGAAAACTGTCTCTATGTCATCTAGTGGTGCAAGCTTTGTCTAAAATTGAATTGTTAGAACATACAATACCACCCGTAATTTGTGAAAAAAAATGGCGGCGGCACTTAACTTACGCGGCGCCGCCGAAGTTAGGTGACTTTTGCCGCGTCGCGCGGCAAAAGTCAGCGGAAAAGCGGCCAAAGTCACCTAACTTTGTCGCGCAACGCCTAACTTTTTATAAAAAAAGACCTTATCTTGATTCAAAATTTATGAATTCTATATATAAGAGTACCATTCAACTCAGCTCGGCGAGGCGCATCTTCCAATATACGGATGTGCCTAGTTGTGGGATATAAGTTTCTTTCCTGGAATTTTAGTGTAAATGGACCATTCAGTGTGCTTATTCCAGAGGCTACGTACACATTCTATTGAGCACAGCAGAAATAGGGCAGGTATAGTTTAAGAGCTCATTCTGCATGGATATATGTGAAACTGGGCAGCTCATTCTGCATGGATATGTGTGAAAGTGGGCTTTTCTCGGCGAAGTATGACGGGTCCCAAAATGCAGGAAGACAAAGGGAAATGGTTGGAAATCGCATGAGAAGCACATATCGCGGAATGCCGCGCGTGCTGTGCAATGTACAATACCACTCACAGAACGGGAATTGCGCGAAATTCCAGAAATTTCGCGATTCCGGATTATCGCAAATTATGCAGCGCCATAACTTCCTTCGGAATTAATATATTCTAAATTCGAAAGCAGCACTGTGTTCATCTCGTCAAGGCGAATCTTTCTACATACGTCATGTCATCTATATCTTGTTTTCAGTTTTCTCAAATTGTTCTGAGGAGGTCCCTTTGCAAGTATGTAACGCAGCGCCTATCCAACTTGAAAGCTTCCAGTAAGCACCATTCGATAGTGCTCTTCTTGTGCATTATAGTGCGCTAGTAAGCTGCCGCAGACTTCTTTTCAAAAGAGAAAAAAGCGTTGGTAAATTCTGGAAAAATCACTCGTTTCCAGATTCTACTCGCCGTAACTTTCTTTGGAGTGGATATTTTCTGAATCCGAAAAATGCATTGTGCTCAGCTCATCAAGGCAAATCTTTCGGTATGCAGAATGTCTTTGATATCTCGATTTCAGTATTCTCAAAACTTTCTGCGGACGTCTCTTCGCAAAGGTGTGAAGCAGCGCGTATTGCCCCCAGTACATTCAGAAAGAAATTTTCGATAGTACTTCTTTTGTAGATTATGGAGCGCTAGAAAGTAGCCGCACAATCCTTTTCAAAGGAGTTAGAAGGGCTGGTGAATTCTGGAAAAATCATGTCCTTCTAAATTTTTCTCAACGTAACTCTAAAATATGAAGCTCTCTTGCTAAGCAGATGTGATTTTCGTAACCAGCAGGTCGGATAACCCTTAAGTGCAAGTTTTCCAAGATTTTCAAGTAATTTCATTTTTTCTCGTTTTACGCTTTGAAGCTGGCCGATGGATTTTGGTCAAAATGTTCATGCTCTTAAATTGTAAGGAAAGTTCGCTTATAGAGGTTTTCGAACACGCTCTTTACGAAAATCGTGGTCTTTGAGGATTACAGGGTCTTTTTGGTGAGATACGGTGAGGTGACTGTAACTGCATCACGAAAGTGCGTAAATTGGCCCGCATTTCTCGCGTATCTGTCAGCAACCTTGCCTGCTTGCTTTTCTCAGTCAAAGTTACTAGGAACTGCGCTACCGAATGGTGCATGAATCAGGCTCCAGTCTGTGAAATTCGCCGAGTTACGAGCCTATGAAAACACGTCCTCATGAATTTTGCCCAAAATCTAAAGATCGCAAATCTCGTCGAAATTCCACCATGAGCGCTTGTACAACACGCTGATCAAAATCTTTCGCGTCCTTAATGGATCTTATTGTGTTAGATTTAGTAATTTGAGTTCTAGCCACTGAAATAGCTCTGATATTCAACTGAGCAGCTGAAGCATATGCAAGTACCATATTCAATACAGTGGGAGTTTTTGGGCGAAGCGAACACAGTATCCGCAATGCGAGTGTCATACAAGCGCTCACGGTGGAATTTCGACGAGATTTGCGATCTTTAGATTTTGGGCAAAATTCATGAGGACGTGTTTTCATAGGCTCGTAACTCGGCGAATTTCACAGACTGGAGCCTGATTCATGCACCATTCGGTAGCGCAGTTCCTAGTAACTTTGACTGAGAAAAGCAAGCAGGCAAGGTTGCTGACAGATACGCGAGAAGTGCGGGCCAATTTACGCACTTTCGTGATGCAGTTACAGTCACCTCACCGTATCTCACCAAAAAGACCCTGTAATCCTCAAAGACCACGATTTTCGTAAAGAGCGTGTTCGAAAACCTCTATAAGCGAACTTTCCTTACAATTTAAGAGCATGAACATTTTGACCAAAATCCATCGGCCAGCTTCAAAGCGTAAAACGAGAAAAAATGAAATTACTTGAAAATCTTGGAAAACTTGCACTTAAGGGTTATCCGACCTGCTGGTTACGAAAATCACATCTGCTTAGCAAGAGAGCTTCATATTTTAGAGTTACGTTGAGAAAAATTTAGAAGGACATGATTTTTCCAGAATTCACCAGCCCTTCTAACTCCTTTGAAAAGGATTGTGCGGCTACTTTCTAGCGCTCCATAATCTACAAAAGAAGTACTATCGAAAATTTCTTTCTGAATGTACTGGGGGCAATACGCGCTGCTTCACACCTTTGCGAAGAGACGTCCGCAGAAAGTTTTGAGAATACTGAAATCGAGATATCAAAGACATTCTGCATACCGAAAGATTTGCCTTGATGAGCTGAGCACAATGCATTTTTCGGATTCAGAAAATATCCACTCCAAAGAAAGTTACGGCGAGTAGAATCTGGAAACGAGTGATTTTTCCAGAATTTACCAACGCTTTTTTCTCTTTTGAAAAGAAGTCTGCGGCAGCTTACTAGCGCACTATAATGCACAAGAAGAGCACTATCGAATGGTGCTTACTGGAAGCTTTCAAGTTGGATAGGCGCTGCGTTACATACTTGCAAAGGGACCTCCTCAGAACAATTTGAGAAAACTGAAAACAAGATATAGATGACATGACGTATGTAGAAAGATTCGCCTTGACGAGATGAACACAGTGCTGCTTTCGAATTTAGAATATATTAATTCCGAAGGAAGTTATGGCGCTGCATAATTTGCGATAATCCGGAATCGCGAAATTTCTGGAATTTCGCGCAATTCCCGTTCTGTGAGTGGTATTGTACATTGCACAGCACGCGCGGCATTCCGCGATATGTGCTTCTCATGCGATTTCCAACCATTTCCCTTTGTCTTCCTGCATTTTGGGACCCGTCATACTTCGCCGAGAAAAGCCCACTTTCACACATATCCATGCAGAATGAGCTGCCCAGTTTCACATATATCCATGCAGAATGAGCTCTTAAACTATACCTGCCCTATTTCTGCTGTGCTCAATAGAATGTGTACGTAGCCTCTGGAATAAGCACACTGAATGGTCCATTTACACTAAAATTCCAGGAAAGAAACTTATATCCCACAACTAGGCACATCCGTATATTGGAAGATGCGCCTCGCCGAGCTGAGTTGAATGGTACTCTTATATATAGAATTCATAAATTTTGAATCAAGATAAGGTCTTTTTTTATAAAAAGTTAGGCGTTGCGCGACAAAGTTAGGTGACTTTGGCCGCTTTTCCGCTGACTTTTGCCGCGCGACGCGGCAAAAGTCACCTAACTTCGGCGGCGCCGCGTAAGTTAAGTGCCGCCGCCATTTTTTTCACAAATTACGGGTGGTATTGTAGCATCAGAGGTTGTGTCATCGATCGATGTCTTTTAAATTTATATACGTTACGTTCACCTTCATAACATCGACGCTAGGCCGCTTTGGGAGGCATGACCATCTGTAGGGGACGATGTTTAGCATGTTTTTGCCTCAAAATCTTCTTTCTGCTCTTCACTGACTCTCATCATTAAGGTGGTTTTTCATCCGGAGTTCCTCTCATCCGTTTCCCCACTTATTGGCTTGGATTATGAAGATTTTGTGCGCGGCTGCCATCTTGGAGTATTTCCAAGCTACTACGAGCCATGGGGCTATACTCCAGGTATGGCAAAATTTCAACTGCATTTTGTTGGCAATAATCGCTCTGCTAGGGATTCAGTGCTGAAAGAGGACAGCATAGAAATATGCATAGAAAATTATTTGCGGAGGAATTATGTAAAAAGATTTGAAAACTTACGTGAAGGAATATCTTTTCCAAAATTAATCCGTCTCCAGACGGCCATCAGACGATCTGAGATCGTCTGGAGCATATATTAGGTTGGTCCGAAAGTTCTTGCGCATCATTTTCAAAAGATCATAACTTCCTTGACACTCGATGGATTTCGTTGGGATTGCATGCATTCGAAAGAGGAATCCATGCCCTTTACAGTAGTTCCTCCTTCATGAATTACTCTGGAAAACTTCAAGTGTTAGAAGCAGTTGAATAAAATCAGTCAAGATTGGCACTTTTCGAGCTGGGTCACGAAAAATTCTGAAAGTATTTTTATTTGATAAAGAAAATTATGCTCATTACAACGGCACCTTTTTCGTGATTTGAAACGAAAAAGATCGAGAGTTAGGAGCAAATAAACAGAATTTCTTCAGTCTTGCAGTTTTTGAGCATGCTCAAAAAAGCCTAAGAACGTCACAGAAAAGGCAGAAAAGCCACAAACATGGGTTTTGTGACATTCTCTTTCTAGATGAGCGAAAATCGTGCCAATCGGGAGCAATTTTGTTTTTCGTGATTTTTTCGGATTTTCGTGCCTGCGTTTTTCACGAAAATCAAAATTGCTCTCGATTAGCACGATTTTCATTCAGCTAGAAAGAGAAGGTCATGAAACCCATGTTCATCACTTTCCCGCCTTTTCTGTGACGTTCTTAGGCTTTTTTGAGCATGCTCAAAAACTGCAAGACTGAAGAAATTCTGTTTATTTGCTCCTAACTCTCGATCTTTTTCGTTTCAAATCACGAAAAAGGTGCCGTTGTAATGAGCATAATTTTCTTTATCAAATAAAAATACTTTCAGAATTTTTCGTGACCCAGCTCGAAAAGTGCCAATCTTGACTGATTTTATTCAACTGCTTCTAACACTTGAAGTTTTCCAGAGTAATTCATGAAGGAGGAACTACTGTAAAGGGCATGGATTCCTCTTTCGAATACATGCAATCCCAACGAAATCCATCGAGTGTCAAGGAAGTTATGATCTTTTGAAAATGATGCGCAAGAACTTTCGGACCAACCTAATATTTCTGCCATCTCGCATAAGTTTCGGATTTCCTTAGCATGGACGGATTTTCCGGTCAAAAATCTTGCCTGAGCATGGAGTCAATTTCATAGTATTGCCTTTCCTTCGTTTTTTTTGCCTTACTTAATGAATGGCTCTGTTAGATATCGCGCTCCAGTGCCAAAGTCCTGTGCACGCGTAGTATTCGGCTCCACTTTGGATTTTCACTCTTATCTCACGTTCCTTCTTTCAAACTAGTAACATTTTATCGTTTTCATCTTCTCAGTCGGTAGGTCAATGGGGACTTTGTAAAACTTCCGAAAGTCAGGGGGGACTTCGTTTTCAAAAAGCCTAGAAATGGACTCGTGCCGGGCCCTGCCCCCTAAACATCCCCAACTTACAGTCTGTTCAACGGAGAGTAGGCGATAAATTTCATGTGGAGCAGCGTGTCCGCATAGCTGGAGGCCTTGCGCGCACACAGCGCTGGCGTTTTTTCAAGCAAGGATTGGGAAAATCGAAGTGACGCAGACATGGGTTCCTATCCCGATATGAACAGTGTAGCTGCGAAGCGGCGCGAGTCGTTTTATGGCGAACGCCCGCCAATCAAATTTCCTCCTAAATTTGGTTGAAGCTTACTGTACGTGATGCTAGCGTGCTCAAGCGCGATTTTGTAAAAGAGGCGAATTTGCAGACTGTTTTTTGTGCCACGGTTGATGAACAAGTGGTTGTCTATACACTAAAGGAAGGAAGGAGCAAAGTGCCAAAAATGAAAATTTATGTGTGTCTGGAACGTACACAACTTTTTTCTGATTCAGCGCAGCGTTTGCCACCTTGTGCCCACTTTTGTCAGCTCAAACAACTTTACAAAATTTTACATGAAGTTGATTCATATGTAAGTTAGCTGTTTTGCTACCTGGATAGCATGGCAAATCGAGCACTACTCACTCAAACAGCGCAGCTGCAGGGGGTTCGTAAAATTGTGGTGTCGGAAGAAGGTGCTCCTTTCTTGGAATTTTCATACAGTCATACGCTTCCCTTTGAAGAGAAACTTCTCGATATATGAAATGTGCTTGCGGAACACAGATGATTTTTTTGTGTCGGTGCTATCGGGGATAGTAGGTAGTATGCAGATAGAGCACATAGGGTGGTCCAAGTGAGCTGTGACGGGCTGCAAAAAATTCGCTTTTTCTCCATATCATGCCATTAGTGATAACTGTTTTCTTCATATTCTTTTGTCCCATTGTGGCTATTCTTAACTTCGGCTCTCAGATAAAGTTGATCTATCACAAAAATTTATCAGCAATAACCGCTATAAAAACCGTTAATCACAGGTTTTCCTAATTCTGAAATAGCATTGGAAGCAGATTTTGAAGGGCTGTAGTGTTTTCTTGGACAGAGGCAAACTCTATGGACGATAGCTGAGATTTTTAGCAGGACACTCGACAGCAAAATGATGAGACTGCAGTTGTGTAAAATCCATCTTTTGGACGTTCAGAAAATCAATATTTGGCTTTCTAATTCGCCTAAAGTTAACCACACGGATTTTCTTTCTTGTTTACCTGGGAGAAAAGAGGCTGCTCTTCAAATTGTCACTTTGCTAAAAAGAGGTTTGGCGAGTGCTTGGGATCATAAGCCACCCACTGCGCATCGTCAAAAATTCTCGGAAGCGAAAAAAATACTTTTACGAAAGCCAGTGGAGGATACTTAGAAAATCTAGTACAAGGTCTTGTACATAATTTTCCTGTCTATCAGGTAAAGGCAAAAGCTTGCAATTTTATTGAGTCCTAGCAAAGCAATAAATCAACTTCCCGTCACTTTGAATTTTGACCGCCGTGTACGCATGTAAATGTACCCAAAATCCAAAAATAATTTTTTAAAGGCGGATGCAGAAAGCAAATTGCATCTGAGGCTCATAGCCAAGATCTGGAATTTTCCTCGCTCTATATTTTCATATCGATGGCTAAATCACTGCGAGTATCAAGCCTTCGCTATGAAGATCGCGCAGTAAGCTTAATGTACCTGTCCACATTAACTTCTTCAAACGGCTAGAGCAATATTGAGAAAAGGGATTGATGTGTCCGAAGTTTCAAAGATAATTTGCACCCTGAAGAGAAAAGCTACGGTGTAGTGTTTTTATTTTTCATGAATTTGGTGATCCCGAAAACTGGGATGTAGAGGCTATGATTAAATTGGTCCATTTGCAGCTGAATGCACAGTAATGGGTGTACCATCAGTGACGACAAATCTGAGCGGATTTGGTTGTTTCATTAATGAGCATGTTGCCGACGCAAAGAGTTACGGTATTCAAGTGGTAGATCGTCGTTTCAAGGGTGCAGATGAATCCATTAACGAACTCGCCGATGGTCTATACGAATTCACGTAAGTCTTTGAACTTCTTTAAGCATTTATAGCCGTGATACTTGTGAAAATTACGGAGCCGTCGCTCTTCCCACTGAGTGCCTCAAGTAGTGACTACAGGAGATATGATTGCACTGTTTGCATTCAGATGTTTATCGCGTCGTCAAAGGATCATCGTGCGCAACCGCACTGAACGTCTTAGTGAATTGCTAGATTGGAAAACACTCTCTATGGTGGGTTTTCCGGCGCTTATGTATTTGCTATAATAACTTCAGTCACAGAGACAGTTGTTGCGCTGTTTGGGTCTGCGCATAGCATTCGAATTCTGAGTCAAGTTATAAGGTATTTTTTGCAGTTCTACAGAGATGCAAGGTGGATGGCATTGAAGAAAACTCATCCGGACCTCGAGGTTTGCCGGTTTTGATTTTTTGAAGTATATGTGCATACGCCAAAGACAAAGTCCAGCTAGTCTTGAAGAGAAATCATGATATCTTCCGCTGGCCTTGCAAGAGCTGTCATCCAGCGTCAGCTTGACAAGAATCACTTCTTGCACTCTTAATGTCCTTTTGTTAACATTCCCACCTTTTATGTGCAAGATATTGCCTTACTGTTTCTAAAGATAAGCTCTAATCCGCTCCCGCTACCTTCTATCATGAAAGGTCATGGGAAACGCTATCTTGAGCAGTAGTAGTCTGTCACAAATTTATATGAAGTTGTTATCGAGGTCTTGGTAGGGACTATGGAATTTGTCACACTGCTACAAAACTTGAAGTATCTCAGTGCATACCTTCCTTACTAATAGCTCTTTTTTCTTTACCGGGATTTCATGCAAATTGGTAACGTCAATGTTGATTGTTTTAAGTGCTCCTCTTTGAAAGTCTCTTGAAGATGACGAAACAAGGATCATCAGTTTGAAGGCATGAACTGTGGTGTCACTTTCCTAAGGCAATTTACTTACCCTACAATGTTTCACGCAGATATTTTGTTGGCAGATACTAAAAGAGATGCGATCTATATATCGGTAGTCTTCGGCGAATTAGTCACCTTGCGGTTTACATTTCTTGAACACATCCTGATTTGAGGCCTTCTTCAGTTTTTCTCCTTTGTTATTTTCTCTCTTCTATACTTTTCTAGGAGTGAGTACGGGTGCTTCTAACAATCCGATGTTTCAAAGCGTTATGGACTTTTGTCCCAAGACTAACAAGTATTGATTGAAAATAACCAATAATGTTTGAAAACATGTTCATGCATGTTAAATTGTCATAAATAGAAAAGTCCGAAATGAGTCAAAGTAGATTTTCCGAAATCTCCTAAAATCTCTACCAATGAAGCAAATAGTGTCATACTAATTGGAATTCAATGCATACACTTGAGCATCGAGATTGATCTCAAGAATATGAGATACGATCACCTTCTCGGAACTGAGCCACATTCTTACAGATGCGCTTGTCGGATGCAGTCACGATGATGCCTCGTCCAATCTCTGCTCCTGGAACTCCTGCTCCTGGAACTCCTTCGGTGTCTGGCCCAACAACACCCCGCGAATCTGACAGTGAAGAAGACAGCGAGCAAGAAGAGTATGAAGAGCAGCTGTTCAACGAAAAATGATCGACCGAACTCTGATAATAGATTGTGTCTTGTGCATTTCATTCTAGTTAAAGTAGGCCAACATGAGGAAGCTCATATCCGTTTGGCTCACGCGCATCTAGCTCGTTCAATACCCTCTAATCATAGCCTTTTTACAAGAATGTGAATTGCCTCGTTTATGATTTCTATCATTTATGGTTCCCAGTCAACCGTGTCCGGTGAAATCGACTTCCTTATTCTGATAGCTTTCAAACTTGTTTTGTAGTGTAACGTATCTATAATGGGCAGCTCAGCCTTTCTGAAGCGCAATCATGGTCTTCACTCATTTCTACTCATTGTTAGTACGTTCAAATTTGAAACACTGCTCTAAGCTGATCTGTATAATGAGTGCCATCGGTGTTCGGTGCTATCTGAGAAACTAGGGACTTCTCAGTTCGATGATCATGACCAGAAATTGCAATACTTGAATAAAAGTTCTTCATGAGAGTGGTGTAAATGACTGCTTACAACCAAATATGCGAGTTTCTTCTCTATTCAAAATTGTGCATCCGCTAGCGTTTTCAGCGAACGGAAGACCATAGAACAGAAATGCAATTTATAGTGCACTTCCAAAGAACGGAGACGCCAAAACCAGTGATTATCTGATTCGGACCTGCACCGCTCTGACGTGCTGGAAGGGCCTTTAGAAAATTCCTGTTACATAAGAAAACAACGCTAACAAGAGTTTGCATGGGGTTGAAGGTGATAGTTCTGGTATCGAAAGCATAATAATGCGAGGAAAGCGCGTCAAAGACGACGCATTCAAAGCCATGTATTTTGAAGGATATGGATGGACGATTCGGCGTCTTCCATCTTCTCGGGCATGTTTCGCAAAATAAATCTGTACAGGATGTCCCGAAATGAATAGAACGTTTTATACTAACGTTCGTTCGATAACTACTAACTCTCCTGTGTGAATAGCATTTGCGAACCGCCATGGACATATTATAGGGTTGGTCGCAACTTGGATTTGCAATAGAAAATTTTTTTAGAGATCCCTCTCCATCACTGTAAGATGTACTGTAAGAGGTGAAAGAATTTTGTGCCTATGAAATTTTCCTAGGCAATTGCTAGAAAAGTGAGAACCTTGCAAATGAATTCGGATTGCTTCCACTGTAATCTCTTGATCAAAGGTTGCGATATGAATCTATGCACATGTTTAGCAACAAATACACGAAGCCCGGTGGAAATTATTCTACATTTCAGAACACTTTGTAGATGTTTCCACTTATTTTTATGTTGCCACTGACTATTTACTTCAAAGCGATCTTTGCTGACGTTATAGAGTAAGCGCAAGGGAAGAAGGAAGAAGAAGTTGGCCTTCCCAGCATGACATGCATCTGTCTAGGTGTTTGTGTATAAACGGATCACAGAACTTTTTGAGGATCTCCATGCGTGAGTTTTACTGCTGTACTTTCAAAGACAAAACTTTTTGAGGATCTCCGTGCGTGAATTTACTGCTGTACTTTCAAAGTCTGAGATATCAAATCTTTTAATCGGATTTGAATCATTGGCAATCTGGAGGCACACCCATGTAGGTGGAAACTCTGTGATGCTGATGTCATGATACAGGGCAGGTGCGCTAGTTCTTTTATAGTAGACTCTTATTCCTAGCACCTCAGTCAAAGGTGAAAAACAGGGGTATTCTTTGTCTATGCAGAATTTAGAGCACCTCAGAAAAGTTGTGAAAGTACGACAGTGCTCACAGTGGCAGAACTGTATATAAAAAAAAACGCGATAAGCTTTGGACCGCTGCTGTTAGGAGTGGTAACACTGAAGCTTGGACTGCTTTTGAAACGTTCAATAAGAAAGTTGTCAAAGCTTCGAGCAAATACCACATCAACCTTGAGAAGAAACTTATTTTGTCGAAACATCCAGCCGGGTTTTATCGCTATATGAGAGTACACCTCAGTGATAAAAATGCTCCCTATCCTTTGGTCGACAACTCCGGCAGGGCCTTATCATCGAACAAAGACAAGGCCAACTTGTTAGCCGAAGAATTCGTAAAGGTTTACAGCTGCAACTCATTTGTAGAGTCAAACCCAGCCCCCACCTTCCCGGGTATGGACAACTCAGTTTGGTTTTCAATGGAAAAGATCATGCATATTCTTGATCGATGTCCCAGCTCCTTTTCTGTTACTCCTGATGGAATACCCTTATTTTTTATCAAGAAAGTTTTACCGGAGCTTGGTTTCGCCTTAGAATACCTTTTCAATTTATCATATATGAGAGGTGAAGTCCCAGACAGGTGGAAGCACTCTCTTGTTACACCCATTCCCAAAAAACCACCCTATAGTGACTCCAGAAACTATCGACCCATTAGCATAACCTCCATATTCGCACGCACATTTGAAAAAATTCTGAAGGAACACGTAGTTCAGCATCTTGAAAAATACTCGATCATTCCCTCCTGTCAACATGGATTCTGCAAAGGCAGTTCTGTTGAGACTGCAGTATTAGCGGCCATGAATGACTGGACTTTAGAGGCCGATAAACGTCATCAAACTGACGTGATATTTCTTGATTTTTCTAAGGCATTTGACAAGGTTCCTACTTCCAAGCTGTTGTCCAAACTGAGGATAGTGGGAGTGCGGGGGATGACTTACAAATGGATTGAACACTTCTTGACTGATCGTACCTTCCAAGTTCGGGTTGGCAGTGACTATTCAAAAAATCATTCTATTTCTAGCGGAGTGCCTCAGGGTGGGGTTTTATCCCCCATACTCTTTCTCATTTACACTTTCGATTTGCCCAATGTATTCGAGGGTAGGGACGTTAGATGTGTTATGTATGCTGATGACATAAAGATTTACAAAGTTATCCAAAATACAAGTGATATTGAAGGTTTACAGTCATGTATTGATGCAGTTGATCAGTGGTCTAAAGATAACGAGTTACCTTTAGCAGCACACAAAACCCACGTTATGTCATTAGGAGTCAGAAAAATAGAGCCATCTTATACTCTCAATGGTTATCGCTTGGAACAAATCTCTGAAGTAAAAGATTTAGGTTTTACATTTTTAGACAAGCTTCAGTTTACAACTCATTATCACAGCATCGTTTCCAAAGCACTTTTTCGGACATACGACTTATTTAAAGCGCTTCGATGTTCAAACCCTGGTGTTTTAATAAAAGCGTATAAGATATACGTTCGTCCCATTCTTGAATTTGGCACCACGGTTATTTCGCCTTACAAGATTCAAAACGTGAAAGCGATCGAAGGTGTCCAAAGTAATTTCACACGGAAATTGTTTCTAAGAATTCTTGGCCCCAACTACTCCCTCATTCCGGGGAGTGAAGAACGTAGAAGGTTGTTATCTCTACCTAGTTTAGCTTCTAGAAGAAAGAAGTTTCACATCTCGATGGCACTTAAGATGTTAAACGGTAGATGCAGACTTGAATTCTCAAAATTCTTTGTCATGTCCTCTTCCAGAACTAGAGGGGCTTCCTTCAAATTAAGAGCTCCCACAGCCAAGTCCGTTTTGCGATCAAAATTCTTCACCCTCAGAGTGTTGTCGGATTTCAACAAATTGCTCGGTCAAGATGCTCTTAATAAAACCCTAGCTAAATGTTGTTCCCTTGCCGACCGTCCTCCTTTCTGATCTTATTTGTATTGTGTTAGATTCTTGTTATTGTTCTTTGTTGGGATTCCTTAAAATTTTGTCCTTATTGTTGTTTTATGTTTTTCTTACTATTATATCAGTTGTTTTTTGTTATTTTTCATATTCTTCAATCACAAATCGTTTCATTATGGTCTCTCATCACTCAGGTTTTAGTTGCATATCATACTCACGTGTTTGTTTTACACGTCTCAATAAATAAATAAATAAAAACCGATTTGTTCGATCTGTGATGGAAGATGGTTTAGACATCATCTGACAGGGCAAACACGCGTAGTCCACAATCTCACCTGGTCTGCACGAATTCTTGTAAAAGATGTGACTATGAGGCTGCCACGTGATGGGGACGGTGTGTCATAAATGAATAATCTGGGAAGGTTGTAGCACTGATTTTTGAGTAGATGGCAGTCGCAAGCTTTCAAGATCAGTCGTCATAGCCTCTTCGACTGAAAGCAAGAATGGACGTAGGCCTGTCGAGGGTATTGAATTCGCTGAATCCTTCATCTTTCCTCTCCTTCAGACGCAGTGATATTTGGTTGCCACAAATCTTCGAGTACGCTACTCGAAGTGATTAATACTTAGACAGTTTTGTTATTTAGAATCAGCATGATGCCACCCAAAGGAACAAAGTTTGTGCATGTTCAAGGCTCGGCGCACTTGAAACCGAGTCAAGCTGGATATCATTTGGGGTGAAAAGCAAAGGAGACGTTTTTCCCCAACAGAACTCGTTCATTATATCAGTCGTAACATGCACACTCTCATTCCTGTTTGATCTGTTTTGTTCACATAATTTTACATACTTTTTTACAAAAATTGTTTTTCCACATCAAAAGGTTTTATAAATAAATGCACACGGTCTCATAATCCTTCCGATAGGCTTTTTTATAGCTCTCAAAAAATCTTCTGCTCCGATTGCAAAGCGCGCCCCTGAGCAAATCGACGCGCGAAACTCTTATTTTCGTTGTCTTTTCTTGTTTACAGCCCAGAAACAATCACATGGCTCTGAATTTGGGCTATGCGTATACAATATTACTCCAAACCATGTTATGTAAAAAGTTTCAAAAACTTATGTGTCCTAATATCCGTTCCCGAATCTGTTGGTTTCTAGACCATCACCAAAGCAACTGAGTTAATTCGGAGCATAAATATCGGAGAGTTCACATAAGTTTTGGCCCCTTTTGATTTGGACGATTAGAACGGTCAAAATCAACCATATAGTGAAGAGGGCTAATCAAACCATCGCATCTCCTCCTTTTTTGAACCAAAAGTAGTGTAAAATCTATGCGTTGATAGATATTGCGCTCCAATCACATACAGTGTCCTTTGAACTATGTGGCGAAAAATGCATCGCCAGATTGTCAAGCCACAGACTTGGTTGGCCTAGGAGGTTTTCGACATTTTCAGCACTAAAATGGTACCCTACCCAATGACAGAGCCTTTGATCAACTCGAAATGTTTTCTCTTTGCTTTTTGTTATATTGGGTGCCTCAAAATGCCTCAAATTTCTTTTTCATTGTTATTTTTATTGAATTCTACGTCAAGAGGGACTTCGTAAATTTCGCGAAGTCATGGGGGGGGGGGGGAGACTTCGTTTCCGAAAATGCTTCAAACCAACGCGTGCCGGGCCCTGATCGCAACGCAAAATCCTCCCGTGGACAACCGTCGCAAATTTGCAGACAAGTTTCCTCTCAGCAGCATCTTGTGACTGTTCCTAATTGAAAGGAGCAGCTGCATAAAGTGAAATAGTCTCGGTTCATATCAAAAAGCACCTGCAGCTGTAAGAAGTTCTATGTGAGCAGTTTTTAGTCACAATTGCTTCAGTGCTAAAACACCTGCAGTTGTCATTTGCGCAACCACCCCTCACAAGTGAAAGATCAAACACGATACATCTGCTTGCATACACCCGTATTGCGCTGGCCTACACATTATGGTCCTTAAACAAAATAGCCTGATAGTTTCATTGTTTTCAATAAACAATCGGTATGTTGATTGAAAGTAATCAGTGAGGCACTAAACAGATGCATACGCAATAGCATCTAAGATTTTGAACTCTTCGGTCGCAATATGAACCGTTAGAACACACAATTTTTAGATTTTCTATTAACCACCGGTGCTCATCAGAACGTCTGTCAACACATACCAAGAATGGCAAAGAGTACCTTTACTTTTGACTTTGACAGTTCTTATGCCTTAGCATAGACTTTTCTTCGGCAATTTATTGATAGCTTCATAGCTTTCTACTCAGTCTGAAAATGAAAGGATGGGAAAAAATTTGAAAGTGCTGTTGTTTTCATAAGGAAATGCAAAGATTGATGAATTGCAAAGAAAGCACTTGAATGCCGCCTGAATGATGCTAAAAGAAATGAAGCAATTAATAGACTGTGCTCATGTTGATTCAGAAGTTTATGCAAATAAGAGGCCGACTATCAAATTATGCTAATCAGCATTTGCATGACCCTTTCTTGGAAGCATCAAACCAGCATGAGATGACTGCTAGAGGCTTGATCCTCGACCAACTTGAGTTTGCTAAAGCTATGAGAATCACAGTGCTGCCAAATTCAGATGATCAGTAATCGTCTCGGTTCTACGGCCGTGTAATGAGGACCTATCGCGCTGAAATATGGTTTTGGAAGCGGTTTTAGACAAGATTGGCCGGTGATTACTGAGAGTTGTCCAATCACTTTGCCTACCATGACATACTTGCCACTTCCTAAAGTGACTATTCTATGCTAGACTCCTGTAACTTCTGATTTTTACCAGACAACTTCTCGATAATCTATTCAAAATCTAATTGATTCTAGTTGGGAAATGCGAGCAAAGCATTATTTGAAAGCCCAAAATAAGTTTGCACATACCTGCAATGCTGTTGTAGCCTTACAGGTGCTATAATCTTGTAATTACATTCTCCGCTATCCGCAGTGAAACATGGGAGCTAGCTTTTTTTCGATTGCGCTTTGCCCACTGCTCTTGCCGACTAATGTGCCAACAACAATCTTGTCAGCTTTGTTTTCGGACAAGGTGTTCAGAAAGATCACCAAAGCTGTCACGGTGTCCCCATCGAAGTGGTGTATTTTAGCCGCGTAACAATGCAAATGGCATTCCAGGTTATAACTATGAAATTGCTTACTTTATAGCCATAAATCTGGACATTTTATTATTAACAATTATCTTCTACCTTGACAGACATTCAACTCTCATAACCGCTATGGAGTGAATTCCAATGAAATTCGAAACCAGTTTAGCTGAATATGATTTTGACATTTTGAGCGTTGAATCGCACTGTGGCTACACTACATCTACCGCAACGCAGAGAATCATATGAACATTCCTCCTTCACATTGCTTCGATCCAGTGATGAATCTCATCTACAATGAAACAAAATCATTTACGGGTGATTTTAGGCCTGCGCTGCATCTGTAACGCTCCGCCCACTTCTCGTCCTGCAGGGCGGGGAAAGTTGCCTCACTTTAGTGGTACGGACCCACAGATACAGAACCATGAGAGGTCCTGTCACCTTTACCGTGTCGCTCATAGCTGTGTTAGCAATTTGCATGCCGGTAAGGTTATTACGTGTTTACTAATTTGTACTTTTCTTTTCTATACACCTCAAGTGCAAAATAGACAGTGTCGCATCATCTATGTCAAGTTTCTGCTGTTATTTTTGGCATATCCATTTGTACAAAAAGCACAACACTTGTGATATTCGAAGCTTCCAGTTAGTTTTATCCGTAGTTCCAGTAGCTTTTCTCCACGGCACTTTCTAAAGCCTCCCTATATTTGAGCTACAAAATATAATGTTGCAAATTTCGGCCTGGGCGCATTTTGAGTTTCAAAGAACAATGACCTTACAAAGATACGACGACAAACCCTCAAATGAACTTACACTCAGAATCTGTAAAGAGCAACAGAATCTTTCCATTGAACACACACGCACTACTTCTTGACTACAAGCCAGTAGAATACCCTCAGCTTCTTACAGATTTAGACTTTGATATGAAAACTTGAGTTGAGATAGCAAAACGATATCATATATTGCTTACACCCTTGCTTGCTTTTCTCGATCTTCTCCTTAGTGCACAATATATAATTCTAGGTCGAATGTGAGATGGGATTTCTCGTGAGAACAAGGGTATCTGAGGTTGGTTGAGCTTGTTGTTGTCGTAATCATGCATTCACATGCGACAAATGCCTACCTCAGATGATTATTTATTAACGTTTCCTTTGATGCCTAAACAAAGAAAAAGGTCATACCAGCTAGATTCATCCCAAGCTCTCATAGATCCTACGCAAATAGGGCCCGAGATGGTATTCGTTCATTTTCTTTCGAATTTTGGCTTTTATTGTATGACTAGTTGACTTAACCGGCTTCGCCCGGCCCTGTCATTATTATATTCGTAATCAGCATGCTCGATTACCCCCCTGTGCCAATTCCCAGCCCCGTAGCTCAAATTTTGCAAAAAATCGATAAAATCGATATCGATCGATACGAAAAGTAGCCCATGACACCCGCCGGGGCCCGAAGTGTATGTGTGCCAAGTTTGGTCCGGATCGGTTCAGAAATAAAAATTTCTATTCGGAACATACGTACATACAGACATACAGACATACAAACATACAGACATTCAGCTTCATATACAAGATGTGCAAAGAATTCACGTGCCAAGAATAGTGCGATCAAGTTTGGAACTTGGTGGCGTTCCTTGACTTCTCTGTCCCAAACAGCCCTATAAACTTAACGTTATCTTCTATTCCAATGTTCCTTGTAAACTAATTTAGAAAAATACCCGAACTTGACTTGTTTACGAAAACTCAGATACCAATATTCAATTCAAAAGCAAGCTTGAGCCTTAGTTTACTAAACCTACGAAAAAGAACAAATTTGAGAAGTCGATGAATTGAAGTTTTCACAGTGGAATATTTTGTTCCGCCTTAGTTGCTTGACTGACTATTCATTTCAAACTTTTGCCCTTAGCGCTTCGATAGTCATGCTTTGCTATGCATAAGAATGTCTTCACTGAAGCACCAGCGTCCTCGAAATTTGTGCTTCAAACAGACACGGAAAAATGTAAGACGCAAGGCAACCAGACCTCAAAATGTGGAAGAGAGTAGATCACAGTACATAAGTACAGTACATAAGAAACAATTGCGAAAGGCATAAAACGGCAAATTCTAGTCAATTTTACCGCCCTAGCTTTATTCACCAAAAACTCAATCTTTTTTTGAAGTAATGGAAGCTGTTAATTGTGTTCCACATTGGAGTAGATTGAACTAAATTTGTGAAGTTCAAAACGATTATATAACTGAAGCCTCCTATTTCCCTATTTTGCTTTATTCTGTAATCGTTGGCTTTCAGGATCCTCTCGACTCAGAGCCGGTGATTAAAAACAAGATCATTGCTTCAAGTCGTTTTTGGGGTAAGAGATCATTCCCGGATGAGCTTCGACGAGCCAGCTTGCGATGGGGGAAGCGATGGGATCCCAAAGTAAGCGCCTTACTGAACAATCGGCTAACCAAAAAATAGAGCATGTAAAAAATGAGCGCTTCCGGATGCATTGAAAAGTCCATTTGCTCGATCTGCTTTCAGTAGACGCTGCTTCTGGATGCATTGAGAAGAAATCTATCTCAAAGATGAGCAAACAAAAAGACGCATATTTTCTAAATGATTGCAGTTGAAAAAGAAACCTCACAGGAGTTTTTGCAAAGCAATTTGCATGAATATATTTTACTAACGTTTAAGGTTTGGAAACAAAGCTACCCTGAACTGCTTCAACCAGTCGACATTGTCAGCCCAGGATGGTCCGCAGTACCCAGGACTAATGACAATTCAGATGACATGGCGCAAGAGGTAACAGTAGCTGGCATTAAAAGTCTGAATGAACAAAACTTCCGCCTCACAGAAAATGGAACCCTTCCTTTGCCTCAAGTAGCGAATTTTTGATGTGTGAGCAGCAGATCTGCGCTTTTTCCATAGGTGCATGAAACTTAGCAATGGAAATTTGCAAAAGCATCAGCTCTCCCGGCATTCCAGATAATTGCGGTAAATCGAATTAATTACGAAGAAGTAAAAAGTAAAAATAGCGAGACAAAAAGTCAACATGTTTCGAGGTGTAGGTGGTTGAGGATTTCATAGTAAGTTTGAGCTTTGTTTTCATTTGGTGATCAACAGTAAAGGCGCTATACCACGTTATACAACCCAAAACAACAATGTCTCAGAATCCATCAAACCGCATACGTGAGTTATTTTACGTGTTGGTCGCGTAACTGTTATTCCCGTAAAGCAGCGGAAATGTTGCGCTTTCCATGGATTCCGAATTTTCCCACATAAACCTACTTTTACCTTAGCTCTGACTGCCAATACCGAGCATTCCAAGTTTCGTAGTCTCGTCCTTCACGCTTCGCTACGTCTCGAGTTTTATCGAAACAGTCGTTGTTCCCGCATTTCTTTTCTTTGCACTCCTAATCTTATCTTAGCTCAATCTAAGCCATACTTCCACAAACAACTTTCAAGATCAAGAGAAATAGCAACTATCGCGGTCAAGAAAAATCCCCAGAAATTCCAAATCCTCATCTGCAGATACAGCATATTCTTATTGTTAGATCTCACCCACATAAGCATATTCTTATTGTTAGATCTCACCTCCATTTTTCCAGGAAAGCCCTACCATGCAAAAAATTTCCGTGATTGCACGTTGGTAATCCCCTCCGTGCAACCACAAAAATATAATGTTCTGCATTTATAGATTGCATATAGCGAGGTAGCATCCAAATGAAAACTTGATTTCGTCTTTTATGCAGAACGCCAAGATTATAAGTTTTTATAAAGTGGCAGATACAAACAAGAAAAAAACTCTGCACCCATTGATATACCCTTCTCAGAGACGTTCGCAACCTCCGAAAAAATTTTGGGAAAGGCTTACCAAGTTCTTACGAACTAACAATTACGGGATCTGTAACAAAAGGGAATATGCAGAAACCTAAAAGTTCTGCAAGATGCATATCGCCAAACTTGAGAATATTTCAATTTATCAGCGGGGAAGGACAGAGGTAAGGGGTTTCGCCAACGTAACGTGTCTTCGTAAAATTAGGTACCTGGTTGTGCGACATCTTCATTGAGTGGGAAAATCAGCGAGATTATCTATTCGAAGATCTTTTTGAGCTTGCGTGTGATAAAAAGATGTGGTCTGAACTCACAGGCAAATATTTCCATACTTTTCGCAGACTTTTTATGGCATTGGTAGATAACAATATACTTGTGAACTGAAGGATTGTTCCAAGAAAATTGTATCATGTTGTTTTTTTAGGACGATCAACTCGTTTTTCGTGTAACAAAAGCCGAAAACCTCCGTCCCAAGTTAGCACTATCTAGCCGCCTATGGGGGCGTTGAAGGTCAGTTTTACTCATTGTTACTAACTCTCCGCAACACGTCACTTAGAACAAGATGATATATAGCGAAGCAATGTGAATGCTCATTGCAAAGCCAGTTTTGCCACTGTACACTAAATGTGAATGTGACGCTCAGCTGAATACTACTGAGATCCGTTTTGCAAGAAGCAACATTGAGAAACAAGCAAGACAATTACGCAGTCGAACAATTTCAAATGACATGGATGCCAATTTAAGCGCAATATTTTCAGCATTTACATAGGGCTCACACTATTGTGTAGATGTAGTGTGTATAGATGCCTCTGGCTCGCGCGCTCCTAGAGATGACTTTCCTCCTCTTCCAACCCCAACCAATTTCTTATACATTATATACATTGGGAAGGATTCGGTAACACACGCTATCCCTAGTTATGCACCTCACTGGTTCACGCTAGTTTTTTTTTTCAAACTAAAGTGCTCACAATCAGAAACATGAGCCCTTTCATTTAATTGCTCTGTCGCTCGGAATTGTTTTTTCACTCTTGCCTTATTGCCCTCAAAATTGATATGCAGTAGTTAATCTCGGCCATGAATGTAATATCTACTCTACTAAAGCTATATATCACTATTTTTCAGTAACTGTCTCTTACTTGGTTGAGGATAGATCTAGTACTCGAGGGAACCCTGCGCAGACAAGCCTAGCAATGACCAAAACGAATCGAGCTTTTGCTTGTGTGCCTAGTCCATTGTAGCTTTTGCAGGACTCAACGCTTTTTCGCAAGCGCAAATATACATAGTCTCGCTACAATAACAAGTGTTTATCAGCACAAAAGATGGTTATATTTTAATACTTACCTTATTTTGAGCATGTAAGAAATTGAGACTCGAGCAGATTGCTACAGTCAGCGTATCATAGACGATCTTCTTGTAATGCTGACCCATTCCATGATGCGCGCTCATTCAAGCCACCCAATCGCAAAAACCTCGTTTTCAGAAAAGCTGTACGGCGCAGAAAAAACATGAGCCACAAACGATAAGTGCTCACATGTGCGTATTGCCCAAAAGCTCAAAAGTTCCAATGCAGTCTTACACTTTTTCAGGAACTCCGGCGTGGATGCTTGAGGATTAGTTGGGAGGCATCATCCTTGGAAGTATCAATAACTCGCCATTAGTACTCACAAACCGGTCATCTTTGCTATACTGCATGTAAGGCAATAAAGCAGTCTATATCCTTGCTTTCCTGTGATTCAAGTCAGGTAGAGCTGAGAAGAAGGCGTGATGATGTAACAAAAAGTCCAGTGTACATGTTTGAAGCACTTCGTATCAACAGAGATCAAACAGTGATATCGTACATCTTATACTTCCATCATTCACAAGTAACCGAAAAGCAGACTTCCAATTTAATTCTCTCTCAGTTGAACAATCACCATCCAGCTTTTTGATACACGTATGAATGCCACGGTAAGTTCATAAAAGCTCGGTAAAACTTATTAACAATGACTAACAAAAGAAATACTTAGTCACATCTTCAAAAAACGACGAGTAGAGCAATCAAGCACAAAACGTCACTGTGATTAAACACACCGTAATACGTAACGTCAGCCTTAAATGCATGCGTAATGAGGTCAAGATTTTTCAGACTGCAAACTAACAATATCTAGAAATAACGACATCTGCTTCTCATTTTAAACTGTACCACTAGCATTTGGTTAGCCTGGATGCTACGCAACCAGATAAAGGACACAAAATCATCCTTTATCAGATAATATTGTCTTCAACCTAAACAAATTGTCTTACTTGTTCAGTATAACGTAGCGAAGTTCTGTGCTCACCAATAGTCACGTGGTCTTCCTTGTGGGAGGTACACGTGCTCCAAGTGTGAAGCAATAAATATTGAAGAATTCGCAAAATTGGCGACAAACCACTGTACAATAGATCAACAATGAGGTGTAGCAATAGACCTAAACTGCAAGATATATTCTCCACTCAAATATGACTTTAAATGTGACATAAGCGCAATGACAATTGCGCAGCCTCTCGAGATGTTTCAATGCATACAAAAATTCTAAGAAAATCAACTAACTACGTTCAGCTGAAGGGCAACAGCGCAACGGGTATCACGCTACAAATTCGTATCAGAAAATCACAGAATTACCGTAACAATTCGTAGAAGTATTAGCTCGTCAAAGATTGTATTGTAGTATTGATTTAACATTAGTAACAATGGCCCCACATAGATCCAGTCCCATAATCGTAGCTCACTTTTACTCATATGAGCAATCACAAGCCTATTCGTAGCCTTAGCTCCTAGAAGAAAGTTTCATTTAGAACCGCTGGATAAGTGGCACAGTGTGTTTATTGCAACGAACCAACTGCACCGAAGCACAGCATGAAGAGCGTGATGTGGTCGTCATATACGGAAGTTTCCGCTCTCGAATATATCATGCAAAATGGCACAACGACCATGAGAAGCGGAAACAAAGGGAATATTACCGATGTCCCCTAAAATGCACTTTGCATAAAATATTCAAAAGTATAAGAACCGACTATATTCTCACAGCTATGGTAGATCCATTTTTTCCAACTCCTCCGTGAATGATAACCTTGACGTACCCACAGACTTGATATATAGTCCCAATCAAAGAAGACAAAAGTACTAAATGCCGTAACTTCCATCCGGCTACCTACAAAAACAGTATCGCATCTCACAACAGCTTAATCAAGCTTCTCACCAGGCTTATTTCCCAGAATGAGTTCCCAAACAGACAGGTAGTGAGAAGAACCGCAATGACAGACATTTGAGCCTCCGTCACATCAAACCTATAAAACTATAAAGATGTCGAAAACTCGGAAACCGATAGATATTTCAGCTGATATATGAGACAACGGAAAGGCACGAGGACCCCTAGACGACACTGCTCCCTCCAGTAATGCCCGCCCATCCAATCACCGTTCGGAGAATCCGGCTCATGGATTCTATGGAACAGGGATTGTCGGAGTTTTCGCGGATTCTGGACTTCATATTAGGAATCTGAGATAAGAAGTCCCGGGAACGACAAACCACGGATATCGAAAATCTGGATGCCTTAAGAGGCTATGCCCGGGCACAAAGTGATTGACTGGAAACTGCTGCGCATACATTCAACGAATTGAAGCTTCCGCATGATCTGGCTCCGCATTCTCACGGTTGAGGAAAAAGACAAAAACTAGACGTCTGCAGAGCATTTTCAAGTCCCCAAGTCTTAGAATAGATGATACGAGTGCACTGAAGTGTCATGAACTCAAAAAGTGTGATTTGTGCGTACTTAGACACTGACTCTATACACTGATAGTGTTTTGCGCAAATGCTCTTTTGACGTAAAGGAGGATTACTCTATCATTCCAACTCACCACAAAAGCGCTTCGAGACGTTTACTAAATAAAGAATCAGCTTTTGTACTAACTACCAATGAAATCTACCTCCAGCTTGAAACGAAAAGATGAAGACAGGCCTAGGAGAACTGTCCAATAAGTTTGATAGGCTAAGCAGCTACAGCCTAGTAGATTTTCCACTTGTTGTGGTGTGCTTGCAGTGCCGAGATTCTGCGATAAAGTTTGCGCATGGACAACAGATCATCAGACCATCGCGCCCTAGCGGCAATCAGGGATCTGCTAGTTTGATTATATGATAGCCTATTTGTTCACGCGCAAATTTTGCTGCAGCTCGGACCACAATCACATTATATCAGGCGGAAAATCTTCTAAACTGTACCGATCAACATTAAGCAAGGGTTACTACAAAGTATGATGCACGTCAGTACATGCATGTGCAATGAATGGTGTTGGTTAGTGCGCAAAAACAGCTAAACGGATTTATTGATATATAATCAAAAATAAGACAGTGGAAACAGTGCCAGGCATCTTCTATAAGTAAGCCCCAAAAAACTAAATGCTATGTGAAGAAGTGAGTGATATGACGCACAAACTAGTGAAATAATATTCTATAGCGAATGAACTGCTGGCTCGAATTAAGTAGACTTCGGAATTCAATCACAAAGTTTTTAACTTGAGCTTTGGGCATGAGAAAAAAGCTTATTCACAAGACGCTTATTATCTTAAACGCCAATTTCAGGATTCCTGTCTTCAAACTTGCTATATCAGGCAAAATGCTTTCTTCGTGGAAGATAATTGCTCTTAACGTGCGAAGTGCTGCAAATGCATGATGTCTAGCATGCTCCGATAGCGTACACCGTGCGCACAAACGAATTGTCACTAGGTCATGGAAATGTTCGTCGCACCATATTAGATTTTGGATACCGTCTATCCCAACTCGAAACAGGCTAGGAATAAAATAATACCATCCGCATCGTCATGGTTTTTTATTAAGTCGACTTACTAGAGGAAGTCTTAAAGGGACCAGAATGATCTTTTTACTTAACATCAACGCTGCCTCTGCGCGCAAATGTAGCCCATCATAGCGCGCAGGCGCGCTCCCAACTGAAATAGACTGTGCCTGTGACATGGAGACCACATTTAATGTATAACATTGTGAACAAAGAATTCAAAAAGCTGTTAGACGGGAGTAAAGGGGCATTGTCGCCGCTGAAGATTGGGGCAACCTTCGGAAACAGAGTCACAAGCGCTACTTGCTCACCCATCAATCCAAATTCAAAACCCAGAGTCGCGCGCAAATGTTCACGGAATTGCCCTGACGACAATATGGCCTTAAAAACGGCCTAAAACGTGGAAACAGAGAAAGACTGAAAGAAACAACACCTCTCCAGAGGCCCCTTCTCCTCCCCTTTCTCGGCGTTCGCAAAAGACTAGAACCATCTTCACAATCTCAAAGATGAGCGAAAACGTTTCGAGAAAGGCATTAAGTTTAGAACCAAATCAAACCTACTTAGAAAAACGTAATTGTCCGGTACAGTAGGTAGACCAATGAGCAGCATAAAACATCACGACTGATATGATCGACACACTTATGACAATATTAGGCATGAGGCCCAAGGACATGGCATAGCATATGTTCAGAGTGACGAAAACTGCAACAAAGGATTGCATCAGATTTATAGCAATACCATACAATAAAAAGCCATCACCTTGAGTCATGCTGTCGCAGCCATGATCAAATAGTTCACCAAGAGGACTACTCGATCCAGTCCTCCGAGCTTGCTTTCCATCAATAGCATCCAAGGTTTGGTAAAGGAATAATCCTAAGGCAGCTTGCGCATAAGCCCATGCAGGAGCCTAAGTAAATTCATTATAGAAAAACATCTGTGGCCGTATTCATCAACGAATCCAGTGAGTTCCGGAACCTACTGGGTTAGTGCTTTTGATAAATATCGATTCTACCCTGGAGTAGAATCGATATTCATCAAAAGCACTAACCCAATGGGTTCCGTAACCCATTGGGTTCGTTGATGAATACGGCCACTGGTGTATACTGTATGAGCTCACCGGTTCTGTTGCAGAATATGAAAAGGAAGATAGAATCAATACAGTGATCAAGTTTATTACAAGTCCAACGAGAGTTATCAGATTTGGAGCCACCCACAGAGGGCACCATGTAACCACATATTCCCACCACCTAGAATTTAACGTTCGAAACTGACTACATATGGTAGAACAACTTACTTTTTCATGCACAACTCATCCAACCAACTGTTATCGACTGCTGAATACTTGTGTTCCCCAAGCCTTTTCAGTTCTTGTTCTGTGGCTAAGGAATCGTTCTAAATATCAAACATTTGTGGAGGCACTGACCTCAAATCAAGTGGCATGGCAAAGGCATTATATGGAGAAACAAGTAGCGGCCATCGCGTTCTGAAGAGACTGACCTCAATGTACCAATTCCACAGCTTATACAAGCGTGATCCAGCACCATATCCCATCTGCAATGTTACCGTTTGTTCCAGCCAATCTATGCAAAAAACGCCCGATAAAAAAACCTGGAAAATTGTCAAGTACCAAAGGAATCTTCCTGCCGATCCACTTTCAAAAAGCGGTTCAAATGATGAGAGATCATTGAGTAAATTGGTAATGATGTCTGTACACGCTGAACTTCTCATGAAAAAGATAAAAGGAGAGGAGATGAGAAGCAACTATGAGTCTTTACTAGTTAGGCGACACGGTATAACAATGGCCACTATTGACTCATCATGTGAAGAGAGAGAGCATGAAACATCATTATGTTGAACTAAAGAGATACCACATCGATTACAGTCGCTAATATGATAAAAAGGGACCATAACCTCTTACAGAGGATATAATACGATGCAACAAAAATCGCACAGGACAGCTGCATCGTTGATCGAATACATGAACAGTTGCTCAGATTGATTGCAATGATAGGAAAAAAATAAATCCAGTCCGCATTCTGCGAGTGCAGAATGCATTCTGTGAACCGTCCAAGTCGCTTAAGGATATGCAATGTAAAAATGAGGGAAAAGAAGGCTACTAAAAAATGGCTGCAAAGCTATAACAAAGGATACTCGCTTTAACCCGGCGGAAGTTGGCAGAAGACTCTCTAGAACTTCAAATTTTGTAATCACCATCTACAGGTGGATGAGATATTTAGTTTATCCATTACAGTCCTAGCAAAGCCCCAAAAGTACCAAATGTTTCCCGACCTTGTGCCTTACCGAAGAAGAAGTGAGGGCAATCAAACACCTAAACATATCATATACACAGACGATTCTCCAAGGAAAACGACGCATTCTATGCTGATGTGTGCAACTGCACAAACGCAAGAATGCTCGGCACGCCGATTTCTCAATTAAGGTATAAATGGTAGTCATTCGCGCCCTTTGAACATGTGCCAAGCAACGGAGTGTAGTGTCAAAACTCAGAAACAAGAATATTTAAGCCTCATGGGGCCTCAGGGCCACTTCATGCCAGAAAGTGCGATTGCATAGCAAAAAAACCCAGTTGTAAAGTCACCTTGCATCACCTTTGCAATCTGCAGTTGTAGAGCCACTGTTTCGATTGACACAACGGTATAAATCCATGATAAGTGATAAGAAGAAGATTGCGCAATGTGGAAAAAGAGGCACGTATTAGTGCAATTACACGAAGCGACAGAACAACCAGTGCGAGTACGAAGCACAGCGTGCTCGTCGCAGGTGAACGGATGGGCGATAGAGCGGCATTAACAAAAACGGAAGCTAAAATAGAAGCTTGCGCTAATGAGTAAAAGGAAATGCGCACATAGCCTAGTGAAAATAAGCTTCAAAGGGCCTTGGATTTACCTCGACGGCATGGTGCAACACCTTCAATTTTTGAGAAAACAGTTTTCAAAAAACCTTTAGAATTTCACTGATCGCTTCACGGACTTCGGAGATGGACTGGAGATAAACGCCGAAGCGAGCATTTTCATAAACATCTTATGCTGAAAGACCGAGGTAAGCAAAAGTACTTTCCTTTTCAGCTCGACCAAAACAATGAGAACATACAAAACACCCGAACGAATACAAATCGCGAATAATGAGAATATCAGACACTTTCCTTAAGAGATTCTCTGCTCAATAAAGCAATACAATCGTACAAGATCAGAAGACAACAAAGTGCAACACGGCATCGCTCAAGTAAGCCTGCACAATTTCGCAACACAAGTTGACATAGAAAAAATGGAGTATAGGCGATTCCAGCAAACGCAAAACGTTCTAACCAAACTCACTTTGATATTTTTATTTGGCTTATTAAACTCCACAACTCGAAGGAAAAGAAACGCTTTCTGCGCAGGTTGTTACCTACATCACAAGTTCACACACGTGGCTGATAAGATAGCCAGAAGTGCAAGATAAGGATATAAATTATAATTAAATGCGCAATAACATACATGTGCAGCAATTCCTCAATTCATTGTACAAAATCAATCTGCTCACTTTCCTTATGCCCATCGTCTGTTCAAGCCCTTGATCCAAAGAAGAGCAGTGTTTTCAGACAAACAAGAGAAATTCCTTTTTCAATCAATGCTATGTATGGACGAGATATTCGCCGAAGCAGTCGAGAAAGTACGCGGTCGAGATGGGAAAGTTCGAGAAACATTCAGCGCGGAAGTCCGATAACAGATCAGACACTGAATTGTAGACTGCGTCATAGTGAATCAGAGGGGCACAAACGCAGCATAGACGAAAACCGATCGATAAGGCAAAGACGAAATATGTTAGAACGCAGATTGTATGGAGGAATGAACTTGCTGCTATGTGGAAAGGACAAGCCTGCGGTTGTGTGCAAAGGACACAACTTTTGATCAGAACAGTTCCATTCCATTCCAAATGCAACAAATAGAATCAAACAGGTAACTTTATGATACGGTACGGATCTATCGCAAATGCAAGGGTTGGCTAACTCACCAATGATAGAACACACATTCAGCTTAATGAAGCCTTCTGCTTAAGAATTGCTGCGCCTAGGAACACCTAGCGAAATCCAGTACTATTCCACATAAGTTATTTCGCTGAAACTTCGTCTAGGGGGGTTATTCGGTACGTTGAACACGAATATGATGTTCATTTCGTGCGACAGCGCCATCCGATGGAGTTACGGTGGACTACGGTAGGGGATCAAAGTCGCGGAATTGCCTGAAACTTCGTCTAGGGAGTTATTCGGCACGCTGATGCTGAATATCACATCGGTTTTGTACCGTAGCGTCATTTTCTCGGGTTACGGTGGATTTACGGTAAGGGAACGGCCATAGGTTGTCGGGGGTGGAGGACTATGTGTCGGCGCCATCTATTCCTACCGGGCTGGCTGCGCGGGCGGTTCGCGCGCGGCAGCCGTATACGTGGAGCGCGCAATCCTCCCCATAGTTGCGAGTTAGTTTAGATTACTCCTACCCAAACGTACTGAGGAGGATTTGCACTCCATTACATATGCGAAGCCAGCTAAAAAGGACAATGCTATAAAGTCATCTATTGCTTGTCTGTCATAATGTTCGTCCGAGGGTATCCTTATACATCATTTTTCGAGGATTTCCTTGCTTCGTTGCTCAGAGGCTATTGACTAGTTATCATCGGCTTCCCGATTCGGTGGAGGCGGGTTGCGGACTTCCCTGATTTTCAGAATAAACTTGTTGAACCTCTACGTTACAGCCTTCTATTTCATACTCTCTCGTTAAGCTTTTCCTTAAAATCAGGGAAGTCCGCAACCCGCCTCCACATGAATCTGGGAGCAGATCATACTTATTTCACTCAATGACTTTGAGTCTCTTGACCACAAAAGACCTATGGGAGTAAGCTCACTTTCGCTAATCGGGTCAGACCATTACGATTGTGTACCAAGATGCTCGCTTATATTCTACAGTAAAAAATTCTATCGAACATCTGATGCTCACTTGTTCGCTGAAATTTGAGGAATGCGTAAGATTTTGCAAATCACTGGAATATAGTCACTTACAGTAGTTTCCGAATCTCTGATAACTTGATATATTAGGTTGTCCGGAAATTAATGCCCGTTTTGAATTTCAACCGCAATAAGTCATACACTTTTCATTCCTGATTAGCATTCAAGGTCAGGGCCCGGCAGGAGGTGGCATTTCAGAATTTTGAAAACGATATTCCCTTTGAAGCCAAAATTTCTTACGAATTCCCCTTTGACCCTATTTTTGGCCCCGTAAGTCCCTGACAAACAGATATACACAAATAATAAGATGGGCGGCCTCAGCGCTTATTATAGTAGCACTACCTGGCTTTCCTGGTCCGGCCCGGGTCATCGTTTGAGAGGATGGCCAAAAATTACACTTACTAACGACTTATTAATAACGACCCAAAAGAGCGAAAGTACGGAAAAATTGACCATATTGCGAAAACTGAAAAAATACGATTACAAAAACAACTTTTTTGCATAGAACATTACGATCAAATATGATCGCTGAGCCTTCTGAGCCCTTGTAGGGCTTATCGAAGAAGCAATCGGTTGAAGACTGAGAAGATTGCTTCAATCAGCGATCAGTAATCTAGCAAAAAGCCAATTTCTCAAAGTTTCCGCGTCGTCTGTGCAAGGTGCACAGATTGTGATTGGAGCGCGCTTTCCGAGGCCGACCATAACGCTGTGAACCCTATTTGGGGTTGTATCGAAGCGGTGCCTTGGTGGTTTTGGAAGCGGATTTGAACATGTAGTAATACTCTCGACCTAAGCCACATTTATGTAAAGAAATCCGGGAAATTATGTGAAGGAAAGCAGGGAGCCACCCCAGGTGGCTCCCAGGTGGCGCGGGAGCCACCTAATTTCGAAAAACACTTACCATTTTTTAAATTCACATAAGTTTCTCATAATTTTTCATACTTTGTTACTTAGTCCTACCGCATATACACACCAAATCCCGCGCAATTTCGTCACCTCTGCATTTCAAACGAGCCATTTTTCCATTTTCTTGATAGTGGGAAATTTTCAGAAAAAACCTTGCTACAACCTTCAGTCACATAATTTTTCAATGAAACTCCTAACTAATCTCTTACAAACTTGTGTCCACGTATGTACCAAGTCTCGTAGCATACCGTCATCTGCGCGTTGCAAACGAGCCAATTGAATGCGCATCTTCATTTACCAATTTTACAAAATTTTCGGAAAAAATGCTTATTACTCGTTCCGTTCACATAAGTTTTTCATGATTTTTCATACTTTGTTTCCATTAGCCTCTCTCCGTTCGCTTACAAAATTTGGTGCCATATCGTTACGCATACATTGAGAACTCGTCATTTATGCGTTACAAACAGCATTGTTTGAGCGACGTCGCGCGTGCGGCAGTTAGCGACGGCGCGATTTTACACGCGCGAACTCCAGTGTTCGCCTGTTGAGGGACATAACATGTTAAGATAAGCAGCGAGCATGAACTACCAATTTTTTTCCGGGGCTCCGCCCCGGACCCCAAAAAACGACTTCCCCTTTGCTTTTTCGGGCCAAAAACGATATCCAGCTTGTGAAAGCGCCACCCCCGCCGGGCCCTGTTCAAGGTACCATTCGATAGAGCAAAGCAAGCTCTACAAGATGGCTATCCTGTTTTGCAACAGCTCTCATCCACCTCGAGTTTCGAGGCAAAAACTAAAAAGACTCAGCAGTCCGAAAAATCGAAAAAAATCGTAACTCTGTTCATAAAAATCCTACAAAAATTCTAAATTGCTCACGTAAACACAATCCACATAAAACACCTATATACGCCTTTGCCATATTTTTTCCTGTGTTAGAAATTAGGAGAACGGAAATTTTCGTGCATTTGCCAAAGTGATGCTGTGCCGTCCCCACGTAGGTAGTTGTGTACCACAAGCCTCTAGAAGTACAGACTTAAATTTTCAGCTCTCTACAAGCTTTAGTTCTCGAGTAATTTGAATTTTCGCTTGGACCACCTAACTAAGGAGAGCTATATTCGGTATTTCTCGAGAACTAAAGCTTGTAAAGAGCTGAAAATTTAAGTCTGTACTTCTAGAGGCTTCTGGTACACAACTACCTATGTGGGAACGGCGCAGCATCACTTTGGCAAATGCAGGAAAATTTCCGTTTTCTTAATTTCTAACACAGAAAAAAATACAGCAAAGGCGTATATAGATGTTTTATGTGGATTGTGTTTACGTGAGCAAGTTAGAATTTTTGTAGGATTTTTATGTACAGAGTTACGATTTTTGAAAATTTTTTGGGCTGCTGAGTCTTTTTATTTTTGGCTCGAAACTCGAGGTGGATGAGAGCTGTTGCAAAAGCAAGATGGCCATCTTGTAGAGCTTGCTTTGCTCTATCGAATGATACTTTGCAATCCATTCAGAAGTGAGAAGTGTATGACTTATTGCTGTTGAAATTCAAAACGGGCATTAATTTCCGGACAACCTAATACTTTACGGTTTCATAAGTGATACCAGTGAAGCAGAGATAAGATTCTTGAAGAAGACTGTTCATCAAGTAATACTTTGCTTTTTACGAACGCTCCTGACATTACTTTGATGAGTCGATCAGCGGATGCATACATTAGAGAATACTTGATGCGAAGAACACACAAACGTAGAATTCGTGTGGTGCAGGA